TTTCAATTTCGGAATAACGGTTTTAAAATTTTTCAAATTATCAATCCAAAATGATATTCTCTGGTCATTTAGAATTGTTGAGAAATTCGAAAAACTCCTTTAAACATCCGTTGATGTAGTTAGACAAAGTTTAAATGCTGCTGGGGAGTACTTCGATCCTAGTTACGGAGCCAATAAGTAGTATATATCTTTTGTATTAGCAGAGTTTTTGACCAAAATACTTTCAAGTTTTTTTATATATGTATTAGTTTTGTGTGTTATTTCAATATTAAACTTTTTGTTTGAAGTTTTGTTGTACCCACCAACAAATAACTAAACTTTGCCTTAATGAACGCAAAACTGTTCGGATTTCTTCAAGCTATAGCGGTATGTTTATATGTACATATATGTACAAATTGCATTGCATCAAGGCGAATTCACACAAGGTGGTAGTAAGAGCATAAAAACACATGTGAATTCGCCTTGTTTCATGCATTTCTATCGTCTCATTTTCCCCGAAAATGTATGAAATGTTGTCAACAATGCAAAAATAAGCAAACATATGCAATATCCAAAAAAATTGCCAGATATACTTATGCAAAATAAATTTTTTCAGGCATTTGCTTAGATTTGCCAGCATTGCTTTTAACAGAGGTACATTGGTGCCAAACTGGAATTTACTGTCCAAAATAGTACAGAGCCTTTATTCTTCAGCCGATTTGATTTTTTTTTTAATGAAAGCTAATAAATTTTGAAGAGATTTGTCGAGCCCTTGTAAAGAAATGTTACATAATACAAATTAGTTGAAAACATTTATAAGATTCACCAAAAACGATAAAATATGCAAAAGTAAAAGTTTTAGTTTATAAAAAATAACCAAAATTTAAATTTTTTTCAGATTTTTAGAGAAATTGTAGGTATGTGCAAGTTCCAAGTTCCAAAACTGCCTATCCACAATTTTTCTAAAAATTTTTAATATTTTTTATAAATTTTAACTTTTAATTTTGGTTTTCAAATTGTAGGTATGTGCAAGTTCCAAGTTCCAAAACTGCCTATCCACAATTTTTCTAAAATTTTTTAATATTTTTTATAAATTTTAACTTTTACTTTTGGTTTTCAACTAGTTTTTATCAGGCAACATTTATTCACAGGAACAGGAGAACCGAATTTTTTCAAATTTGATACTTTATCTGCACTTTGCTTTAAAAAATTTAATATAAACACACACATGAACAAATAAAAAATAAAAAATTGGGATCGAAAAATCTCTCTAAATTTTATTAGCTTTCATTAAAAAAAAAAAATTATAAAGTTGGTGGAAAAATGAAGGCCCTGGGCAAGCTGAACACATGAACAAGCTGTAGAAATCAATATTATTTTCAAAAACTCAATATACAAATTTCCTTAAAAATTTATAAAATTAAACGGATCAAAGCTGTTGCATTCTCTTTTGAAGAGATTGGTGATCGAAAAATGGTTTATTTAGAGTGAGTCTTACGAACTATTTATTATTTTCGACATGTTCTGTATTTATGTATTTATTAGAAGTACTTTTTGTTATACTGGTAATAAAAAGTGTACCAACTGCTACGCAATACAAATTTATGTTTTTTTTTTCCTACCACTTTTACGACTACTTCGCAAAACTGCGCAAGCAATTGAAGAACCATTCAAATAATAAGGAATTGAAAGTGCGTGCTTAAACACTGCTTAAGTCGTGAGTGTCATCAATGTGTATAATTTTCAAAGTACTTACATACATACATACATACGCATGCACACAATTGTCATTCAATTTACAATTTTGCATTTAAAAAAATCGAGATTAAATTATTAACTTTTTAAGTTTACATTATTACAGGTTATAGTATAGACCTATACATATGTACATATGTATTTATAATGATTACATAATCAATTACTAATAACTTAGTAACTGTTTACAAAAAAAAAAAAAAAAATTATTAGACTATTTATTTCTTGTTATGTGGCGATATTTAGTATGAGGACACGTAATAACGACGTGCCATATTTTTCATTGACGCCTTTGCTGGGACTTTAGCATTTTAGTCGCAATCACAATTCATTTGTTTATTTACATTTGAACTCACGTATCTGTATGTGGGTTTATCTACCTAGAAATTACATAGTATGCATATAGTATTTTCTTTATATTATGTATGTAACAAATAAAAAAATATGCCGACACATGAACATACATATATTTGCGCATATGTACATATGTATGTATGTATGCATTTATGCATGTATTAAATGTGCGTCCGAGGGGCCGTTGACGTAGTTAACGATAATGATGAAATAAAGCTTGGCTTTAGTTTGAGAATGAATTGGCAAATGCGTACTAATCGGATTTAATAATTTTATTGTGTGTGCATTCATACATATACATATGTATGTGTATCAATGCACTTTGTACCTGGGTATGTGCAGTTTATTGTAAAACAAAATATTTACAGCTAAATGAAATACTAAATAATAAACATTCCCACGACAGCCGGTTCTACGTATCGGAATGGGACGGGTTTTACCCGACCAAGGGCTGTTGTTTCGGCGATCTAACCCCGTTTAGGTCGGCGAAGTATCTAAGAAGTTGTTCGTCCGTAGGGCTATATTTGCTACGTATTCTTCTGCTCAGGGCTAGCATCGAGTCAAACCCAGGGCCAGAAACCTACACCTGCTGTGTTTGCCAGAGACAACTACACCACAACTCCACCCCAGTCAAGTGCAATGCTTGCGAGGGGTGGAGTCACCTCAGAGTCTGCTCAGGATTATGGACACAGCGGCAGTAGACCACGTTGTTTGTGGCCACCTGCTGCTCAAATAAAGCAGTCTCCACGGATAACCCCAGTCCACCTGAGCGGCTCAACACAGAAACCACAGCACCGCAACATAACAACACAATAGACCACACCACAACCACGACAGACCACATAACAGACACAACCACACCACCACCCACACGCCGCCGCCAACAACTCCTGGTTACTCCTACAATCTGCACCGTATGTCAGACCAGGATATTCCGTAATGTGACATCAGTCAAGTGCAACCTCCTGCCTTTGCTGGTGCCACTATAGGGCATGTTCAGCTCTGCGCACCACGCGAGATTGGACGAGGAATTTAGAGGGCCCTTGTTGCGTTGCTCGGTCGCAAAGCCCAACTGTGACGCCAACCACTACCACTTTAGGACGGCAGCCTCCACAGCAGCGCCACAGCTAATGGCGGAAAGGCCACACTCATCCCTCACACCCCGCATCACCACACGTCTCCCGAACCACATGAAGCTCCTTCAATTTAACTGTAACGGGCTTCAGAGCAAGATCGAGGAGATAACCGTCTTCAGAGGAAGGCATGGTATATTGATAGCTGCGGTCCAAGAGACGAAGTTGTACAGCAATTCAACCTTGTTTAATTGTGCCGGGTACAACGTGCACCGCCGAGATCGCGAGCGAGATAATGGTGGTGGCTTAGCGGTCATCATGCACCACACCGTGCAGTATCGTCTTATTGAAGCAGACATTGACCGCAGGGATACCACCCTAGAATGTCAGGGCATTGCTATCCGGTCAGACGATGTTGAGCTCGAAATATTTAACGTGTACGTACCCCCTGTCACTTACTGCCCGGCAGGATATCACCCTGATATAGGTACGCTCCTCAGAGGTGGAAACCGCACCACGATCTTTGGCACTCAAGCCTGTCAAATGATCGTAGGGGAACAGACTTGGCTGAGCAGATAGACGATTCGACATTCTGCACAATGAACGACGACGCACCCATCAGGATTATGGGCAGCTGCTGCAGCTCTCCAGACATAACAATAGTCAGCGCTGGTCTGATAAACAGCGACCTATGCTGACTTTGGCATCAGACCATCTGCCCATAGTCATCTCGATCGATAAACGAACCGACTTTGCCTCCGCGGAACACCGGACCAATATCAACTTTTCTAAAGCTGACTGGAAAGGCTACGCGAAATTTACTGGGAGCACCTTCGCTGAGCTTCCCACACCAACCGACGTCCACCTTGGTGAACGTAAGTTCCGCAGGGTTTACACTGCTGCTGCAGCTCGCTTCGTACCGGCAGGATACATTACGGACCCACGTCCAAATTTCCCTGCTGAAGCGGCTATTCTAGCCGATGGGCGTGACAGCCTTCGTCAGGTCGATCGCGGAAATCCCCGTATCAGGGATCTCAACGCAGAGATTCGGCAACTAGTGAACGTACATAAGCGGAAGAAGTGGGAAGAGCTTCTGAAGACTTGTAACTTCACCTCTGGTGTCAGTAAGCTTTGGTCAACCGTGAGGTCACTGTCCAATCCGACAGAATATGCATGTTGATGCTGAAAAGTTTGGGCCCTGCGGTTCATGCAGCAATCATAACTTTCGTGCTGTTTTTGTAGATAATCAGAAAAAAGTGGGATGGGCTTGACTCAAACGCAAGAAGTGGAAAGCCCTAAAGATATTTCATACAAAAAAAGAGTGACAATTTAGTTTCAGATCTAGAAATTTGAGGTATTCCAAGTTTTCGAACCTCTTTCCATAAAATGGAATAAAATTGACCAGTGACGGCATACTTAAATATTTTCTTGTACTTAAGTTTCCTACCTTAAACTTAAGTACTTGAGTATTTAAGGGTGCTATACTAAACCACTTTTTAGATATCTCAGGGACCGTATCGGTTATAGCTTTTATTAAAACAAAAATATCTTTTAGTGGTTCTTTACTCTGTTGTATTTATTATCATTATTTTTGGAGTATTTATTTTTTATTTTTTACATAGAAAGCTTTTGGTGTTTTACTTAAGGAGCGGTAGCGAGTTAAAAATCGTCAAATAAATATCATTAAAAGTTAAAAGTAAATATTCTCAATGTTAATGTTTATATTCATCTTCAACTTCAACCTCAGCTCCATTTTCATCTTCATCTTAATCTTTATCTTCGTCCTCATCTTCATCATTATCTTCACCTTCATCCTCATCATCATCGTCACGTTCATCTTCAACTTCAACTTTACCTTCATCGTCGTCATTTTCATCATCAACTTCCACTTCATCGTCATATTTATCTTCAACTTCAGCCATTTTGATCTCCATCTTAGTCATCTTCCTCTTCAACTTCATTCTCATCTTCATCGCCATCTTGATCTTCAATTCTATCTCCAACTTCGTCCTCATCGCCAGTATCATCCTCACCTTCATCGTCATCTTCATCTTCATTGTCATCTTGAACCTTATCTTTATATTCATCGTTATCTTTATCATAAGCTTCATCAAGGTGCATTCCGTGTCATTGTTTTTGATTCGGTCTTTGATATAGTCCTTATATCTTTCTATCTCTATCTTCTCATTCTCCTGGAACAGCAACGTTAGACCTTCAACGCAACCGTCCCCTGTCTATTCGCTCAGCCGCACATTCTACGCATGTGTAAGCGCCAATCTATTATTATTACTTATTAAAAGACAACGGTTATTTTCCGAGCAAAAAATAAAATTTAAAAAATTATTGAACTAGACTTTTTTTTAAATAAAACTTAAAAAATAAAAATCATTCTCGCTGTCGATAGTCTAAATAACAAACAACAAGATGGTTTATGGTTATGCATCCAGCAATTGATAATTTTTGCTTTTTTATTTTCAGGATTGGCAATCTAATAATGAACCGCTTCGAGATTTTCGGTTTTCGTCGAAACTTTTCAAAATTTGCTTCAGATTTTTACGTGAAATTTAAAGGTTATTCGTATTTTACTTATAAGGATTTTTTTCAAAGCACTTTGAAGAATTCCGATTCTAAAAAATCGTTTAAGGGTTTTGTCATGGTTCAAATAATGCGATTACATATGTATGAAAAAATCTCATACAACACACGGGTGAGGCTAGATTAAGCATAAACCTGTCAGTCTACTCTTCTTATTGTTGGGCATCTATATTATCATAACACCCCAGCAGGAACCAACTGCATGCATAAAAACATATACGTACATACATATGTATATGTATACCATAAGTTCTAGCTAACAAAACTTCACAATCATAACCAGAAAATACCGACTAAAGTGCGCTTAAATTACAACAACTAATTTTTTTATACTATAAAAAGGGAATAATACAACATACGTGCATGCATACATACTTCAAACTGATAAGCGTGAAACCTATCAGCTGAGACTAACTTCCAATCACTAAAACAAACCAACGATAGAGACTTTGGTGCTTAAGTGTAAAGAGTATAAAAATGATCGTTGTTTCTTAGTAGCTAACAGAAAGAAGTGTACATTGAAAGTAGCAATAAGTCGTGCATAAAATTTTGCCACTTACTAAACAAACTTATAGTTTTGTGAGAACGACTTAATTAAATTGCAGTACAAAGTCAAAATAATACTGCACAATATTTGCAAAATGTCCGCGAAGAATCTTCATCCACTGGTTGGTGCTACCACACGCTATATCGCCGGCAGAAATGCCATGCAGACAGTTTATTGGCGCACATCTGGCGCTGGACCTAATGGCCGAATGGTGAAAATACACAAAAATTGCGAATTCGAAAAGACACAGGATCTGCCGTCGAAAATACGCTTGCAGTATTACAATGAGAACTATCGGGCGAAGATGAAGGATGCACTGTGATCACTGAAGTGGTTGGCGAAAACACGAATTTTTAGGTTAACTTTTTTTTTATATGGATGTGTACATAGTATTAGTTTAATGAGTTAATTAGCGAAATAGTAAATTATTAAAATTTAACAATCAAATTTCTTTATTTATTTTTAACGCATGTTTATACATATAGAACTACAAGTGCGCAAGTGGGTACTCCATTAGTCGGGGTAAGTACTAAATATGCAGCGATAACACTATTCTTATTGCACGCGGGCGACTGTTTCTTTAAACCTGTACATTTGTGTATGGTGTGATTTGGATTGTAGGTCAATGAAAGGCGATACGTTGTAAGTATTTAATCCAAGCCCACATATTTATACTGTAAAAATGTGTATATATACTACTCTGACACATGGATTCCTGGATACAAGGGAAAAAATAAAAAAATCCAATGTATACTTACATACATATACATATGTATGCACTATCAGTGGCGGATCTAGATGGCGAAGGGGTGAAGGGGTCGTTACACTTGTTTTCTTATTTCTCGAATAACAACGTGATTACACAAAAATTTAATGATTCACTTTTTGCTTTGCCAATGGATTCGTATTCGTATTTTTTCAAGAACTTTAGGTATTCATAGCTTACTTGTAGCCATGATACAAAAATATGAAGGTAGTTTCACTCATAATGCCACAAGCGTAGGCACCCTAACTTACTCCTGCATGAGAAAGAGCCTCCGCCGAGCTACGTTAGAGACGTACATCGACCAACTACTGGACCTGAAGATGCACCGACGAGTGATCAACGGCATTCATAGGGAGTCGATCACCACCTAACACGACTGCCGATAACCCCAAAAACTCTTTGGGGAACTTACATGCTGTTACAGCAACAACAACCACTCCGGTCTATGAATACTGCGATCGACTCTCAATTGTTATCACAACGAGCCCATTGGAAACAGGTACCTGCTTCTACCTAACGTTACTTAAGTGGACCGGGACAGCCACCTGGAAAGCTGAAAATCATGTGAAAAAATATTGTAGCAAAGTATAGGTACTCACTTCGTGTTAAAAGTCTTGCAAAACGGAGCGTCTTCCCTGTTTATGTCCGGCATTGTCAAAACACGATTATTGCTACCTCTCAATTCGAGAAGTTGGAAAGCGTGAAGCGTAAACACCCTAAAAGTAAAACTCATCATCAAATTTCTCTGGTTTTTTGCGCTTTTCCGACTTTCGGTGTTCTAATCAGCTGTAAGTTTTGTATGTTGACATGAGCGCTGAAATCCACAACGGGTAAAACGTTAAGTGTGGAGATCTAATTTACGTTATGTGTACTTCAACTAATAAGGTTCGGTCTCCATCTGATCCCTAGCTTTACCACACGGGTTTTGTTTTCGAGGAAGCATCGAAAGTCAAGCCATTTAGCATTAAAGTACCAATCCCCAATACTGCGGCGAGCTTAAGGTAGTCACGTTCGCCTACAACTGTTACCACCTTGCACTGCTTATTCGGGTAGCTACTGCTCGTCTTAGCTGCTGGTGTATCTGTGGCTGTATTTACTGCGCTAACAACCATTGCGTGTTCCGCATCTTCCGTCTCATCAAAGCAGGAACGGTGTAGAAATATTCGGTGGCAACGTGGCCTGTTAGAAACTGCATTAAGTGGAAGTTTACTTTACTCTTTAAGCACTTTTCTATGCTTGTCATCAGTCTGCATGTCGACTTTCCTTTTCTCAGCAACGTTGCCCCTTTTGGAACTCTTTCTTCAAATAACAGATCGATAGGAGTTATGTCTGCAATGAGTGCCTCATATACTAGTCCACGATACTATTTGATCTAAATGGATTTTCCCAGGCAGAAGTTGCGTACAAAAGCACCAATGCTAATACTGCTTTCCGCTTCAAGATCCACCGCTGTTAGGCAGCATTCGAGAAATGTCCCATGTATCTTTGACCTTTTTTGTGTATTACATATTCCGCATGCGGTCCAAAACTGATTTTGTCATCTTTTATAAAATCAAGACATTTCAGCTTGCGTACAGATTTGATTAGATAACTATCTACCAAATTGAAGGAGTCTTCTTACGGCTGCTAATAAAGTTCGCTCCCGTAATTTTCAGGCGTTATATATAAGCCTATTTTGTTCATGTCCATGATCATCACTATTGCTTCTGACTTAATACCCGTCAAGTATTTTGCCACTGCAACCAGCACAATGTCGTCAGTGAAACCAATGATTTCAGTTCTGGTAGGAAAAGTCTGCGCCCACCATAGCGGATTTTGGAGGAAAACTTTTTATAATATACCAGCCGTTCAGCCGATCGAAGGTCGTTGAGGTACGTGCTACCACTCTGAAGGTCCTGGGTTTAAGGTTTAAGGTTTTTTTTCTAACAGCTTTCGCCTCCCGGCAGGCGATGGCAAGCCTCCAGTGTATTTCTGCCTTGAAAAATGATCTCATTAAAACCATTTGCCGTCCGAAGGCGGCGTTAAATTATAGGTCCCTCCATTTGTGTCATAACATTAGGAGGCCCACTACAAATCGGAGGAGAAGCTCGTCCAAACACTTAACACAAGTGTAAGCGCCATAATATTATTATTAGATATTGTTAACCGATCTATATGTGGGTTAATCCCAACCCGATTCACCGAACTTAACTAAATGTTGAATGTGATTTTGTGGAAGAAATGAAGCGCTTATTGATATATGTATATATGTATGTTTTTCCTCCATTTCGCAACCGTTAGACGTCACACAGTCTAGAATCACAATTAAGTTTCATTCAAACTTTACTGTCACACAGTAAGTGGAAATAATACGTAAACGTAAGAGGAAATAATATTTTATTTTCCTTAATAGGCTGCAAACGTTTATCCAATCTTAGACGAAATTTCTGCGAGACATTTTTTTTTTTGTTTTTTTTGTAATCTTAACTTAATTAGCTGCACAAATAATTTAATTAGACGCATTATACGCCTACTCGTAAATATGGAAGTATTTCGTGTGTGTGCAATATCTCTGGGCTCGAACATATGTATGTATATACTATGAATGTGAATGAACATGTGAAGATAGCTTTCGCATCGTTTCTCACTCTGACACTGGAGTTGGACTAATTTAATTGAATTGAATTTAATTGGACGGAATTTCAAACAAAAAAATATTGTTGTTATTGTCTAACATATATACATATACTATCTATACTAATATATGTACAAAAATTAACATATGCACACTAGGATGATAAAAAAATAATAATGTCCGCTCCCGAACTAATTAATATCGAAAATAAGGAGACCAGTATTTTTTATTTTGAAATCGGTTGACATTTAGCCGTGCCGTCGGGTTTTGAAGCTTTCCATTAGCTTATATTAAGAACATACACTTTTTTCGTAGAACTGCTATAAAATAGCTAAAAATAAATGTTTTTTTCTGGAATAAAAATTTTTCATTTCAGAAATTAAATTCGGATGCCTATTTAAATTAAAAATTTTTGCTAAGTACTTTTTCATAACCGATAATCTCATCTCTTATGTATTTACAGAATTTAGCTATTTTATGTGCTTGTATGCACATTACGCACATTTTGAATTAACAGTTTAGTAACATTTAAAGGTAAATTTCCATCATATTCTATTAATACTTCTCAAAGGAAATATTTTTATTCGATATATTAGTTTTTAATTAATTTTTTTCGAATATTTATTTTTAACGATTTTATGGCAATTCCATAAAAAGACATCATTTATCCAATATAAAATATATAGAACTTTTCAAAGTTTAAATATTAACCGATTGCAAAATAATAATATCCGCTCTCCTTGTTTTCTATTTTCTATAATTCTGGGGGCTGGCAGCAAGAAAATTTCTAAAAGTTGATTTTTCTGTGGACTTTTGGGCCACCCTAGTGTGCATAGATACTCGTTTGTATGTATGTATTATTCTTGTACACAAAATTTATGAATCAGTATGTTGGACAAACACTACAAAATTAAAGCATAAAATTAGGCACATAAAATTAGAATAAATTTCAAACTTGAACTAACATCAAATCTTAAATTAATAATTTGTTTTCAAAAATAAGATTTAGCAATGGCGAAAAATCCCATCAGCGCCAACGAATAGCTACTCATAACTCCCAAACTTGTAGCCGCAGAGCTGCACACCTTTCGAATCGTTTCCGTATATAAGCCACGTCTGGATAGCAAACCTCGGATGCTACGCAATTCCTGGAAGGAGTTGGGAAAATTTTAACTTCATTAAATTACAAAAAAATAAAAAATAAATTACCAAATCGTACAAACCTCTAAACTCAGCCCTTTTTCTGTTCTGCTCAGCACGAGTGTGTAAATGGAGCCGCTCATTTCATTACCGCAAAATGTCAGCACCAAATGATCGTTAACCGCCTTTACCACCTGTACGGTGCCTTTGAATTGTTTATATGAATTTAGCGCCTCTAATGACCCGCGTTGCTCGCCTACATTGGTCCATAGGCCGGGACTTCTTTCCGTATAATTAAACATGTATTCCAGATTATTATCACTTTCACTCCATATCAGTCGTAAGTATCGTGTTGCTGTATGGTCATTGTATGGTCGCTGGCTCTGAGGTTGTTGTTGTTGTTGATGTTGTTGATGATGTTGGGAAGGTGGCTGGTTGGTTTGTGTTCGCCGTTGACTGGTGTATTGGTGATTATTATAGTAATTTCGCATCTGGAAAATATGTACTTTTATATATGTATGTATGCAAGTGTATGTAAATATTCGCTATCAAGAAGTTGGAAAGATCAACTCAATTTTCAATGGTTGGCATCGACCATTTTTCATTAAGAGGAATTTTGGTCAGAGCTTTTTGGGGAAAAAATTAAAAAAAAAAAAACATTTCGAAAGTTCAAAATTTCACAATGTTCGGGATTTTTAATGTCTATTTCTTGAATATTTAAATAAAAAATATATAAATTCAGAACGTTCGAAAAATAAAAAAAAATACAGGATTTTGAAAAAAAAAATCGTAAAACCACAAACTTATTTTTGGTTAAATAGTTTTTATGCAATAACTTTAACTGATCTTAAAAGATACTGAAATTTTCCAGAAAAAAATATAAAAAAAATTAATTTTTGAACTGTGAACAAAAAGCCTTTGCAAACTCTAAATTAGAAATTAATTTTAATTAAATAAAAATTGTTTAAGATAACCTCATTTAGAGTTCGCAACAAATGCATTTCGTTGTTTAAAAATTGATATCTTAAAGTTCTGATCAAAATTCATGACGGTAGTACCAGGGTACGGTTTGTACAAGAAGATTTGCTTTTAGTGCGTTAAAATCTCACATTCACGGGGTTGGGGCTTTCCCTTCTTTCCATCTATATCAAAAAATACGTATATACAGTATCGGTCATATCTATAGCACGCCATTTCAAAGTGATATTGTGTGCCACTTATGTTTATTTATTAAGTTTTTAAAATTTCCAATTAAAATATAGCTCATTCTCAGAAAAACCCGATACAAACCCAAGTTTAATAAGTTGTAGAAAGCTACAAAAAAGTGAAACAAATTTCACATAAATTTCAAACTTTTTTCTCGCAAGTTTTAGAATTTTTTTGAGTACACAGTTTTTTAGCCCCTTCAATTTTAGTCTGATAATGTGGGAATTTGAAGTGGCTACGAATTACCGTTTATTTTTAGAATTTTTTTTGTCGCATTGGCTTCCATAATAAATAAATGAATATTTATTTGTATATGGAAAAAATCCGCAACACCTTTGGCGAAAAAAAATCTAAAAAATCAACGGTAACTTTAAGCTACTTGAAACTTGCACATTATTAGACTAAAATTGAGGGAGCTAAAAAACTGTGTACTCAAAAAAATTCTTACACTTCCGAGAAAAAAGTTTGAAATTTAGGTGAAAATTTGTTGCACTTTTTTGTAGTTTTCTACAAATTGTTACACTTGGGTTTATATGGGGTTTGTCTGAGAATGAACTGTATTTTAATTGAAAATTCTTAAAAATAAATAAATAAACACCAGTGGCACATAATATCTCTTTGAAATGACGTGCTATAGATATGACCGATACTGTATACAGGGTGTCCTAGACCACCCATCCGCCCCCTCTAAAATGGATGGAAGTGTTTTTCGTAAAAATATGACCTACAAAATCAGGGATGCCCCCTCTTTTGGTGGTATTACCGTTTTCCGGGTTCTACTGACTTCTGGTTTCTACCGGAAGTGGGTTAAATCGACCCGAAGAAATTTTTTTTTAAATGGTATGTACATGTTTTTACCATAGATTCGGATTCTGCTCATAAAAATACGTAACTTCTGTCGGAAACTTTTTTCTAGAATGTACCTCCGGTTAAAACAATTGACATCCGGTCGGTTTAACCCACTCCGGTCGAAACCGGTAAAACCATATAAATCAAAGTTTCACACTTTATATAAAGTTCACAAAAATTAAAAAAATGCATCCAAATTTTGAACTTTTTATTAATTTTTTTTAGATGGGTTTTTCCACTATATGGAAATATAAGCACGAATTTCTTATGAAATAAAATGCGGGAGACTGTCAGATAAATTGCACTTGTTATATACAAAAAAAACACAAAAGCAATTTCCAAAAAAAAAATCTCAAAAAATCAACGCGATTTTGTAGCCGGTTGAAACTTAAACTTCATTAGACTAAAATTGAATAGGCTACAAATTTTCATACTCGAAATTTTCTAGAAATGCTGAATAAAAAGTTGAAAATTTTGATGAAATTTTTTGATTTTTTGCGAACTTTATATTATAGAATGAACTATATTTTCATAAATAAATAATGCAAAAAATTGTTCATGAAAATAATTATGAATATTATATGAGAGCAAAGTGTACACTTTCATTTGTCGCCTAGTGTATGTTTGTACGTATGTCTAGGCATCGACGAAGACAAGATGAAATTGCGCCTGGGCAAGACACTACCCAAAAATCTTCCACTTGCGAAAAATAACTATTGCCAGCTGGTTCTTTTATTTCGATAGGCAATCGAAAATTTTTTGATGAATAAAAATCACATTCTACAGCCAAGTAACCCATAATATCTTTCTATGTGGCGATAAAACGTGACGGCATCGAAACGAATTTTCGAACAAATTCCATACTTAAATCGCACCGCCTATTCTAGATGGATAACGAATATCAAAGAAGGTACCTACAAATATACAGTAATGATCATTGGCCCTATTAGTAGAGGTGATAGGATATCGAAACAGAGTAAACGGAATCTTAACGATCAACAATGGCCAAAGACTTTCCTTGCTAAACGAGAGTATAAACAAAAAAAATATTAAACCATTTCTAATAAATATAATAAAATAAATAAATAATAAATAATCCATACAAAAGTTATACTTACTTGTTCTGTTATGTCATTCAAATGAATTATTACGCAACTATCATACTGGTATACACCTGGAATATCCTGCGTATGAATAATGATCTCGTTACCATACCATAATCCAGTGATCTGTAAAAGAATACGAATATATTCAAGTGAGATCTAGTAATATCTTGATTGTGACGCAATAAAAGTTGTTCTATATACATACTTATAAATCTTTAACTACATTCAATATATGTAAGCACGCATTTATGCGAACTTACATACATATTTGTGTACATTAGGCATATTATTTTTTTTTTTTCGTTTCTAAAATTTCATTTTTTCTTGTGGGCGAAGTTATCGTATGTGCCATACAAAAGTAATTTGTACATACATATCAAGCCCCTACCGCCAAAAATTTAAAAGTATTTTTTCAAAATTTTATTTTTTTTTGCAGAAATGCATCTACATTCATAGTACATGCATCAAAAAGAAATTTTTTGAAAATATGTCGCTTAATTATTATCTCGCCAGGGGGCGTCAGGTTCGAAATATTTTGAAAACCCGTAGTTATGGTCCGATTTGGCTAAAATTTGGCGTACTAGCACTAATTAAGAGCTATAAGTTAAGCCGATTGTCAAAATAAATAAGAACATTCTAGATTACGGTCTTCTCAGTTTGCAAAGTGTACGTTGGTCACGTTCGACATGATGGAAGTGTCCATTTGTATGTATTGTATATGTTTTTTTCAGTGCAAAATATTTTTTTCCTGGAGTTCCCTGCGGCAACCTTTTGTACAAAATTTTCACATAAACGTAATTTTTGTTGGTTTTGCATTATTCCTCATGCTCGCCTCATAGGTATATTTAATTTTAGAAAAAGTCATATGCCTAATGTACGTACGTACTATGTACCTACATTTGCATCCACAACATGCGAATACATACTCATAAACGAAAACAATCTTCATGCTTGTCATGCTGATGGCCGTTAAATGGACACTTCGTTAATTGTATTATTAAATTTACGTAACCTTTTGTTGACTTTCTAAAAGAGTCAACTTTAGGGCACCAGAAAAGATTCGGTATGTGGAGTATGCATTTAAATGTGTACATACTATGTACTCACACTCTAATGGACATTAGACTGAGTCGGGGAAAAAACTCACCGTCTGGCGAAATTTAGAATTTGCTAGCTTTGCGTGCTTTTCTTCTACCCTTTTAAGAGAAGTACATAACATAATTATTCCCTTTCTTCATTTTTCTTAAATGTACCCTATGTAAGTGAGTGTGAAATTTCCCTTATTATTATTTATTATTTCGTAAACCTTTTATTATTACATCAATGATTATTTATTGATTGATTGACATTAGATAGATGTGAGATATTTTTTATGCCCGTCAAATGGCGAAAAAAGACTCGCATTCGAAAACAGATAAGGAATAAGAAAGAATCGATTGTTTTTCTATATTAACTAAATGAATCATAGTATCATTTTAATCATCTGTTCTGGCTACAATTTTTCTAATAAAAAAAGATTATTCGATTTGTTTTTTTTTTTTTTAACCTGCAAGCTCGAATAAGTTATATAGTATTTATACATATACATAGGTGAATATAATAGCCCTAGACGACTTGCTTAGTACAAAACTAAGAGCTTATTTGTCGTCCATTTAAAATGAGCCGAGCATACGCTCCTTTGAAATCGTTGGAGTTGCCCATTATTATTACTTTACGGGCGCATACAGTGACTCAAAGAAGTATTCACATGTTGATTTTTTATACCCAAGCACACTTGTGCATTAGTGTATTATAACTATAAAAAATCATACTCGAAAAACGAAAAAAATACTGAACAAGTATGGAGTAAGAACATTGCTGACACAGACAGTTTGCCCGCTGTACGACAATGCCAGACCTCACACGGCCAACACCACGAAGCAACTCCGGGACAAGACTCCGCATTCTCCTGACCTAGTGCCTTCAGATTACCATCTGTTCACACCAGTGAAGGTGCACATGGGTGGAAAAAGGTGTTCAATTGATGAGGAGGTGAAAGTGAGGTGGAGAAGTAGGCCAAGGAGCTGGTGGGTCAGTTTTTCAAGGCAATCATGAAAAATAGCAGTGAAAGGGATGGAGACTAATTTTTTGAAGTCTAAAGATATATTTAAGCGATTCGCAAGGAAACATAGAAGTCATCTTAAGAATTTTTACACTGTTAAAAAATAGTTCGTTGTGGTTTCAAATACTCTAAATATTTATTAAACCGTTAAACACTTTACGACTTGCTCCACTTACGATATCTTGTGAACCACCTAAATATCTCCGACACAAGATAATCTTTTCAAATGTCACAGCGAGTTTTCTACAAAAAAAATTCTTGATAATGAAATTTTATGGCGGATAGTTTTTTGTAAGGTTTCATTTGAATATATTGAGAATCTGAGGTGATGGATCAACTTTGGTTTCGGACAACCCATTGGAAAAGTATAGCCTGGCCTTAGGATCTTGACTTTTGTCAAATCCAGTAGGCCTCTCATGAATATATATCTCTCGATATCTTATCTGAAAATATAATACTTATCATAACTAAACTACATCTATACATAGTGATCACCCGTCCTTTATTTTAAAGGACAGTCCTTAATTTAAACCAACTTTCCTTTACATTTTTTTTCAAATTAAAGGACGCCTTTTGTCCTTTTTTGAAAAATAAAAATGTCCCTTAGAGAATATCTATAATAAAAACCTTCGCCAGTTTATTTCGCACCCCACTTAATCGGTAATCTTTCTACAATCTATAAAGCACCGGGAAAGTTGTGCCCAGGATCATGTTGCACGCCGAGTTTCCAGTTCCACTGAAAGAAGATAAACCCCCTGCTGCACAGTGGTTCAAAGCTGGCATTTAGTGTTCGTAATTCACTGGAGCCTTCATGTTTACTTAATTTGATTAAATTTTATTTGTTTTTATGAAAGCTTACAATATTTGCCAGAGACCAGGTGAGCCTGATTTCTGAATTTTTATTTTTTTATTTTTGTAGCAATTTTGAAAAAAATGTATTCCCCTGTTCCAGTTGATAAATGTTATACAACAAAAACTATTTAGTTGGAAACAATTGTATGATTCCCAAAAAAAAAATTACAAAAAAAAATTTTTGAAATGTTATAAAAAAATGTTCATCAAAATAAATATTTTATTTTTTTGGTTTTCAGTAAAAGATTGCTTGCAAAATAAAGACTCCGCTGAATTATGAACATTAAATTCCAATTTTGAACCACTGTGTGTTAGCTTCGTCGTGCAGTATGAATTATGGTAAACGCATTTTGGTAGCAAAGGCTGGCGAAGTTCTCGAAAAGATTTGGCTTAATTTTTCGCTACAGCAGGGAAACTTGTAAAATTAAATAATATAATTAACTGGTAAATATTTAATTTAAATTACGATATGGGTAAGGTACTTTTATCATACAAGTTGTATGTACGTATTCCCAAATCATTTAAAAAAAAATTTCCTTTATTTTACGTTGGTTAATATGGTCACCGTACCTATACATATATTGACAACTTTTGCCTATTTATTTTTTATTATTTGATTATAATTACTTTTTTTTTATAAAAATATAGTGCATTTTACAACAGAAACGATTTAAATCCAAGTTTCAAGCTTTGTACAAACATCAAAAAATGCATCAAAATTTGAAATTTTTTATATAGATTTTTTTTTGGAAAATTTTAAGAAGTTTCATCAACATTTTTTATTTAGAAGTTTTAGAAAATTTTTGGTATGCAGTTGATAGCCCACTCAACAAGTGGAAATTTGACAGTGTTGTGCATTTCCTCCATATAGAAAGCCCGTCGAGCATACACAGTTTTGGCCATTTTCCTTTTATTTATTTAATGTTAATAATTTGTTTCAAGCTTATTATATTATATATCCAACACCATATAAATCCACATTTCAAACTTTGTATAAAAATTATAAAAATTTCAAACTTTTTTTTCAAAATTTTTAGAATTATTTTAGGAATGCAGTTTTTTAGCCCATTAAATTTTAGTGAAAATTTACAGACGCTAGAAGATCGCGTCGATTTTTAACAATTTTTTAGCCGACGGTGTTGTGCATTTTCTTCCATATAAAGTATGCACGACAATCTCAGAAAAAAAATATTAAAAATCAATGCGATTTTCTAAAAATTTCCAATAAAATTTAATGGACTAAAAAATACCCAAATTTTTTTTTAAAATTCTGAATAAAAAGTTTGAAATTTTGAATAAAATGTTTGAAATTCTGAATAAAAAGTATAAAAATTTTAATGACATTTTGTTGATTTTTTTGAATTCTGGCACAAAGTTTATTATTATTATGTCGGACACTATATTAAAGACTCATTTTGGTGGAAATTGCATATAGTGTTTTTTTTTTTGAATAGAAGCCCTCAATACATATTATAAAGAAATCAATAACTATAATGTAAAAAAGCGCACTTGTTCAATATCCACAGAGTGTTGAGGCTTTATGTCCATACACAGCAATGAATTCGTATAAATATTTCGATCCGTACTTGAAATCCCCTCTTCATAGCTTTGATACTGATTTAAGGCAAAACAGCAAAAAATTCCAGAATTCAAGAATAAAAGAAAACAAATCAAAATTTTCGGCTGCATTTTATATCAATAATTTTTTTTTTTTTATGTTAATACGAAATTTAATTAAAACACTTGATTAACGTATTATTTTATGTCTTTTTCCGAAAGTCAAACGCAACAGCGCACACAACAACGTTTAAGCTCACAGCACTGTTTCAAACTGCTGAGGGCGGCTCATCACTTAAGCAGATCAGGAGCGATAAGCGATATTTTCTCCAGTAGCGTCGCTTAACATTTGATTTTGTTATTTTGCTGTTGTTGTACAGTATTTGTAGAGTAGTTGTTGTTGCAATGTTTATTCTTCTTGATGTTACTAGCTATTGACATTAATAAAGAGGATGGATGGGAGCTGCTACTACTATTATTCCAATAACACTAGCGACGAGCTTATATGCTCTCGCATCTGGAAAGCACGGACTAATTTAAGCGCAGAAATTGCTGTTCATACATACAAACGTTCATCGGCGCATAAGTGCCGCTATGTATATACAAACATACAGCATGTTGTGGCGTGTATGGCATCGCAATTGTGTAGTTGTCATGATGAGTAGTGGGTTAAAGTATTATAAAAATTGCATACCAATATAAATTGGAAGAGCCTCAAATGGTGAGCGTAGAGAGAAATTTACTACCCGCCTCCACAGAATTGAAATTGTCAATTAATTTTGCGGGTTCGCCAAAGGGGGCTGATGTTGCTGCCCTTTATACCGCTATAAATGGCGTTGACCGTATGTGATCTACTCGAATGGTCCAGTTTGTTAAATGCTTGTATGAATCATGCACGCTGAGAAAGGCGAAGAGTTTCATACGCAATACAGTAGTTTTAAATTGTCTTCTTGGAAGTAATGCATATGTGGAGTTATAACTTTTGCTAAGTGTTTGGCCCAGCTTTTCCTCCAATTTGTGTTAAACGAGAGTTTAACTCCCCGCGAACGGCAGAAAGTTTGCCATTGCCATTACTTGCCGAGGGTCGAGCGCTATTAGAAAGAACTTCGTTGTTGCTGGCATCAGAAATCGAAACCTGGATGCACAGATTGGTAATGCACACCGCTGACCACTTGGTCTCGGCAGCTTTTTGTCAAAACATTTGATGCGGTACTGCCTTCTTGGTGCACGCATCGCCTCTTATATCACTAAGCAAGATGTTGAACATTTTTGGAAACTGCGTCTTCTTCTTAAATAATGGTAATCACAGAAGTTTCTAATAAAAAAATAGTTTTAAAGTCACGTGCAACAAAATCCTGCTTGCGATGCTCGCAGCGATCTCTTTCAGGATCTCAAGCAGTCTCAAAAATACTGAAATAGTCTCAAAAATCCCGAAATTCTTTATTTTTACACGCAGTACTTTTTATCCAGTATTTATTAAAGAAAAAGTCTCTAAATATTTTTGTTCGCGGTATTTATTGAAGCCAAAGTCTCAAAGAACTTCTTACGTGCGTTTCGTTAGGTGAAACTAACTAAATACTTTTAAACTAATGGCCTTATTCATAAAAAATAAAGTAGGTTTGTAGAGCTTTATAAATTGACGTTTTCATACATTTTTCAATTTATAAACCTTTTTTAAACCTACTTTATTTTTTATGAATAAGGCCATAAGTATTTAGCGCTGTGAAAACAGGGACCGTAACAGTTACAACTTTTATTAAAAAAAACGCTCTTTAACAATTATTTTTTGACTTTTATTTAATTACTCCTTAAGTAACAGTTATCTCTGATTTTTATTTTATAAATCCCAAGATAACAATTATTTTTAATTTTTATCTAAATAGTCTGCAAATAACAGTTATTTTTGATTTTTAAATTATATGTCTTAAAAAACAGTTATCGAAAACTGTTTTTTATAAAAGTCATAAATAAAAATTAGGCAGTGACTTTTACTTTTTAAAGTCATCAGTATAAATCAGTTACTGACTTTTGTTTTTTAATCACACTCATGAAAGTCATTTGTATAAATCGTAGTAAACTTTTGTTCTCCAACACCTTCTTAACTGCGAAAAATTACACATGACTTTTATACGTATGACTTAAAAAATAAAAGTGGGTGACTGATTTATGTATATTGATGACTATTAAAAGTAAAAGTCACTGACTGATTTTTATTGATGACTTTTAAAAGTAAAAGTCTTCGATAACTGTTATCTAAGACATATAATATGTAGAAACAAAAATAACTGCTATTTGCAGATTATTTAGATAAAAATCAAAAATAATTGTTATTTTGGATTTATAAAATAAAAATCAAAACTAATTGTAATTTTTTTTTGTTTTGCATAAAATTGCAAATAAAAATCTATTTTCAAATTTGATTCTCGGTGAAAAAATAAATCGATTGGTATGCACTATTAATTGTAGAACATTTCCTTCATAGTGAAGTTTTCAATTAAAGTTTTCATCAATAGCTGTTATGTTCGGTCCCTGTGTGAAAATAAGTAAATACTAGCATACTCGATACTTACATATGTACGTAAGTAAATTGTACTTTGGTATTTACCATAACATAAATACCTAAATACTTTTCTACTTAGTACTTAATACTTAAGGGTCGATTACGGATAGCAAGGCAACTGATAAGAAAATTTGTATTATGAATAGCAACTATCGTCAGTTGCTTCAGAGTTATCGATATTCGAAACTTGACAGTACGCCAACCAGCAAGTGGTTGTAAACAAAAGGTGCTTCAATTGATAGAGGAAAAAATTTGCAATCAGTGTTCCCTTTTGTTACACCAAAAGTGCATACTCAACGGGAACTAAAGTTTCAAGTTGTAGTTTTGTTGTTATTTTCACAATATTCAGTAAATGAGAACTGCATTGCAAAAGGTTAATATTATTCAAACTATTAAAAACTACATAAATTATTTCACATACTTTTCAATTTTCGCTCCAAAAACTTTCCCAGCAACCGCAAAAATGTAGTTGCCTGAATACACACTTTGTAGCAACTGCAGTTGCCAGTTGCCATCTGTAATATCGTTTCGGCAACTAGCAATGCAACTGAGCTTCGGTTGCTATCGATAATCGACCCATTAGTAAATACAATTTTGCCCATCACTGTTATGACCAATCGAGTGCCGTAGTCCCTCTGCGAAAGGATAATACGGAAATGGTGGAACCCACAGCTGTTGCGAATAAATTTAACACTCATTCCACCACATTAAGTCAAAAGGTTTGTTCCACACGCTTTCCGGGTTGTTTTGAAACTGTATAAATTCTATACCCAACATCGTGCTCTCTTTTTTAAACTTGGAAGGTTTGTATTTGAAACTAAATTTAGTTTGGTCATATATGTAGTCTAAAAAGTTTGAAATTAAAACCGAAATTTTTTACCGTGTATGATATTGAGCCATTCTTTTTTAAGTCTGATGAATTTCGTAAAAAAAGTTATATCATAAATCCGCTTAATTAATTCGCTTAAAATTTTTTTTTATGGGTTCTATACATGAAATAAGCTAACACGTATTCGAGGAAATTTTTCCTTTGGAGATGTGATCTGTTAAAGTTTGCATTTTTTCGTGATTCTGACTAATCATGTACTTCTTCAAATCGTTATATCTCGGGTTCTTCTCATCGTAGAGACATCATCTTAACGTCGTTTTAAAGCTAAAGAAATGGGCTTAACATTTCTATGCATAAGATGGTCTTGATCAGGGAACCGATTTTATGGAAATTGCCTTTTTTGTCCGCTAAAGAGATAGAGAATATTCGATTAAGAATGTCCACGATTTAGCTTTCTCTGATTCCATATATACACATTTGGTGTTGCCTTTTTTTGCTTTTTTAAGATATTTGCCTTTTTTGCCTTTTCTACCTTGAAAAAGTGATTATAGCATTTACAATTTTTTTTTTTTAAGAATAAAAAATATACACATGCCCATGCGGCTTATAGAAGCGCAAGGACCTCTTGCCAAATTGGTGTTGGAGAAATTCAAAGCCGTTTTCTCAGCTAACGAAGGCTTGGAGACAATAAGGGATGTGGATAAAATTGTAAAGGGCGAGGAAAACGCCCTTATTCCTGATAATATGAACGTTTCAAACGTTCCATATTTAAATTGGGCTCCACTTGTATCAACTTACGTCGAGCACACATTTGGTACATTCAAGGCTTTATTCGCGAAAATCGAATGAAAATGCTGCCAGAAAACTTCAAAATGCATCTTGTGGTTCAATGTTACTACTACAGATTAAAGCTTTATGGGTTAGAAACTAGAAAGGATAAAATAGTCAAAGATTCCAAGTACAAATTTTCTAGTTCATAGTTTTTCTCTTTTTACTTGTAATATAAGCATTTCTAAAATAAATCTATTTTTTGATTGTTCTTATTTCTTATTTGTTCTTATTTTGCTTTTTTTGCAATACCTAGTGCCTTTTCCTGCCTTTTTCGCTATTTTGTTTTGCCTTTTTTGCAATACCTAGTGCCTTTTCCTGCCTTTTTCGTTATTTTATTTTGCCCTTTTTATAGGTTTTTCGGTCCTAAAAATCCGTTCCCTGGTCATGATTGTCCTAAAGCCAACTTAGCTATTAAAAGGTGAACTTTTTGAAGTTGATTTGTAAAGTGAAGACCAGTAAACTAGGAATTAAAAATTACACCATTGTAATCCTTGTTTAATTCTCTATAAAAAAAAAACAACATTGTTAAAAACATGGGCGTTTTTCAGGAACTATTTTTAAAATATTTTTTATGACGAGATGGTTTATTTTGTGAGAATCAGCAATTTTTTGTAATTTGTTTTCGAAAACTTATGAATGTTGAGATATATTTAGCAGGGTGTTAAAAATCGGGTTTTTGCAAAAATTTAATTTTATTGTGGATTCCGATAGAATACTTATCCAGAAATAATATTTGTACGGCACGATTTTTCTTTAAGGCGACAAACCCCTAGAAACGGATTAAAGTTAGCAAAACGCAGATTTTGGCAGAATATCTATCCTTCGATATATTTTTTAAGCGAATCGAAAGTGTGACACTAAATTTAGTGTCCGATATGAAAAAGAATGTATCTATTGTAAATGTAACGTTGCCATGCCATGTAATGGACCCTGCACCTTTGTTAGATTTCCCTTTATTTTATCTACGTCTGATACAAATTCTAGCACTACTTAAACCACTATGTATCTAGTATGTACATTAAAAAATTGTTTATAAAAATATTAAATTTCCATTTCGAGTTAAAAGTCCATTCTTAATTATGTAGCATTTTGTATGGAAAAATTAATTTTGTCCATTATCCAATCCACGTATTTTTCAACGCGCACATATACGCCCGGTTTATTTGCGTAGCCGCAGTGTTGTCCCCATGAAATTATGCCATACAGTGTTTCACCATCTAAAAGTAAAAGTAAATTGTAATTTTAAATTACAACACTAGTTATTTTATCTAAATATTGTATGTGTGTATATTGGCGTGCAAAAAATGGAGCATTTCCACCGGAATTGTAGAATTTATTATATTTTAAGACTTTCTTATATTCGAAAAAATAGTAAGATCTGTTTGAACTAGAACAATTTGAAATTACCTCCAAAAATTTAATTTTTTTTTTTTTTGATGCCGCTGATAAAATTTTTAAACATTTTTATGCAGACTTTTTAAGCTAAACATCTTTTATCATAGTGGATTAAAAAAAAATTTAGCTAATTTTATTCATAAAAACTCAATTTTTGTAGGTATTTTCAAACATGTGTAGCTTACGTAAAGCTTAGTTTTTTTTCGAAATATTTAGACAGAAGTCCCAAAATATATAACAAAGGATTTATGTATGCATACCCTCGTCATGACAAATCAGCGGCCCACCAGAATCGCCATCACAAGCATCCACGCTCTCGTCCATATAACCGGCACAGAACATGCCTTCAGTCAAGCTGGCGCCATAAACATGAGGCTGCTTACAAACATCATCGGACAGTATAGGCAATTCAGCGGCACGTAAAATATTAGAAGGAGCTAATAGAGATTGAAATTTAAAATAATAATCACTTATATTGCATTGCATATAATTTTTGTAGCAAGAAAAAGGTAAACATACTTGAAACACCGGATTTAATAGAGCCCCAGCCGGAAATTGTGCACTTGCGATTCTCTGTTACAGTGGCATCCTTACTCGGCAAGCACACCGGTTGTATATAATCATTGAATTTGACCGGTGTTTTCAGCACAATCATCGCTATGTCGTTATTCATATGCGTTGCGTCGCGGAATTTTTCGTGCACATACCAATTTTCAATGAACGAATCTATTTCAGAAGCCTCAGCTATATTGGCATAATGATCACCCAATCGTACCAGATAAGCACCCTTCGGATAACCAGCGAGACAATGCGCCGCGGTGAGAAGATGACGCGAAGAAATCAGCACAGCGCCACACCAATGGCTCGATATGCCACCCCTGCCGCGTGTGCGTATTGTTGCTTGCCACGGGTGATGACCACGTTTCGCTAGGCTGCCATTTACAACTCGCTCTTCTGGGTGGGCATATTCGTCAAGCAGATTGTCTTTGAATTGCCCGCATCGTCGCCTTTGCGTGCCAATCGCCTTGCTTTTGCGCTCCCATTCGGAGAATAGACCAATATCTTCTAGTTCTTGTTGCGGATCATCTAACTCTTTTCGCCCGTTGCCGTCTACATGGTTCCTATCTGTTTGCGGTGTACTCACTTTCTGTGATTGAACTCCCACAGTACATTTGAGACCAACATCCTCGGTGTGATTGCAATTATGTTCGCCCCAAGTCCAGTGATTGCACTGCTCCAATGAAGTTTCATTGCCAAAGCAAGACACCTGATCCAACCAAATGGGGCCACTGCCCGGTCCGTATACATTCTTTGCAATGGTCTGTAATATGGATTGTTATTTTTATTTACAAATCGATGTGTATTTGCTAATTAAATTTACTCACCGGTAATCCGTAAAAACCCATAGAATTACATATAACTTGAGCCTCTTTCAAGCCGAAATCATCGTCGCATACAGTTCCCCACTCACCACGGTATCTAACTTCGAGACGTCCTTCACTCGGACTGCGGCCACCTTGCAGGCGATACTCGACGGGTGACTAAATATACAAAAAATTAGAAGAGTAATATTTTCCTTTTAATGCTTAACCATAACCAGCTCACACACAAAACTCACATTGCAAACGTTATCGCTCTCATCCGACTTATCGGCACAATCTGGTGTATGATCACAAACGAAGGCAGGTGGTATGCATTCTTGTGACGTGCTGCATAGCCAATAGTTGTTGGGACATTTGAGTTGTGGTACTTTGCAAACCACGCCAACCACTTCGTCTGGTCCGCAATTGCTGACGCCCCAACCTTTAAAATTGCATTCCCTCAACGAAGATTCATCACCGCGACAATCCACTTCATCCATTACGAACGATACTTCCGTCTCAGTGGGTGGATAGTATGAATAGCCGCGCACTTCGCTGGCTCCCAGTTTAAAGCCCAGCTCACGACAAACCACTTCTGCATCACGCAGCCCGAATTTGTCATCGCATACATAGCCCCATTTTCCGAGAACTGCATAGAGTATCAAGAATAAAATAGGTAAATATTCTGTAGATATAGAGTTACTAAAATACTTAAAAGTTAAGAATACTTGCATACAGTAATTGCTGGACAGGCTACCGCATGCAATTCTTGTGCAGTTTCTTGCACACAGTAACATACTAGGGGTATTCTCTGTGTCTTGCAAAGACCTTGCACGGTGCACGGTTTGCAAAGCTGTACCATACGAAAACCGGTTTTTACTGTGCAAGGGCTTTGCAAGACTCAGAGAATACCCCTACTGTGTCTTGGGGTGTGGAATTAATCGAAGGAAATGGAGGGAGAGAGAGGTCAGACATGTATCGATAGAGCCCAGCTGGACTGTAAGAGTAGATATTTATCATTTTAACCTGTATTAAACCGGTACCTTTCAGGTCAGCCTAAACTTGCTAACGGAGAGTTGCTGAGAGAATACACCTCTTCCAACTCTACCATATAACGCTGAAGGAGAAACCAGTGGTTCTTAGCTTGATGCATGAACGAACTGTGGCAGCCACACCGATTTCAACAATTATCCGGACCTTTGAATGCTTTTACTTGATTTTGGTTTCGTACCAGCATTAATAGCTTTAGAGAGAGGCAGTTAGCTTGGGAAACTAATGCTTTTTACTCGCTCCTCAAAACTTTGCTTTTAGGACAGTTCCTATCTAGAATAATGCGCAAATACTTGACCTAGTCAGAGAGTCCTAACACCTCTTGGCGAATATACCGAGTTCCGTCTGTCAACCAATTTAGGACTAAGTTTATGTATCCCTGAATCAGATCATCCAACAATCCAGACAAAGGGCGATAGAACTTACACTACACTGGACAGAGGCACTAGCCAATCTGCTGATGGGGATAATGCAGAAAAGAAGCTAGTCAAGCCTTTTATTATTGCCTCGGATAGTACGCTATATCGAGGAAGACACCAACCAAGTAGTATTTTTTCTCAAAAAGCTCTTTTATAGCTTTAATAATTATGGGTAAGACGGGTTCCAGTGATGCATCCTCTAAGAAAGAATGCTGAGAGAGACTCAATAATGTGATATCCTCACAGTCTTTCAAGCCTTCGAAAGGGTCGTTTTGTCCCTTTTTTCAGAAAGTCTAAATAAAATTTCATTTGGCAGTTCGCTAGAGGGCTGAAATATTCTAGAAAATTATTCGTCACAAAAAAATTTACTAGGCGTATTCTCAGACAAAATCTTTATACAAAGAACATAAAAGTCCACAGAAAATAAAAAACAAATATGTCTCCTTGAAATATACAAACACGTTTTATGTTTTTTTTTATATTTGTTAAAATGTCTGAAAATACTTCTAGTAAGCTTTCTTTTCTAAGCTTTCCGGCGAATAATTTTCTAAAACATTTTAACCTTTTAAATTTTAAATACCTCCCAAATGCCCAGCCTTATAAGCTCATTGGCGTCAGTTATTATCATTTAGGAAATACGGTCGATGTTTTAATCAGTAATTTAGAAAGTATATCCAAAGTGTATGTATGTACGTTATTACATTAAAATACTCACTTTTAACCTCAACACGTCCCATGTTTGCACTTTCGCCACCAGCTAAACGCACCTCATAGCCCAAATGTTTACAATTATCTTCATCCTTACGATTACCACAATTGTTAATGCCGTTGCATACCTGAAAATTAAAACGATATAATAAAATAGTAGCAACTTAGTATCGTCATTACTCACCTCAAAGGACTTCACACATTTTCCATTTCCACAATCAAACTGGCAATCCACATCCTGGCCTGCTCTCAAATCTATCTCAGGTCGAACACTAAAAGGAGTTGTTGACTCCGCATATGGATTTGGTGGATTTGCATTTGTCAAATCAAAATTATTCGTAGTTGTAGGCACAGTACGCAGCGTAACGGGTGTTGCGAACGGATTTGGCATTTCAGGATGCCGCTCATGGAATGCTCTATTGTGATTGTGGTGGTGGCGATGAGGACTTGACTGATCAACCTCATCAAAGGGATTTAATAAATTTGGATGTGTACGATGGTATTCCCGATTGTGACCGCGATTATGCCAATTAGGATTATTTTTAGATTCTTGCTTTGTATTTTTCGAATAAATATCTGTACGTGACCCGTGTACGCTGTTTTCAGTTGGGTTTGTGCTCAAACTATGCTGTTCACCTGCAAGTATAAGTTCAACCTCCTTTTCATTTTCGGCACCAACTTTGGATTTGTTGGTAGTTGTATGAGGTAATGTATTCATAACAGAATGCACAGATGGCTGTTCCGCTGTAAGCTTCATTATATGCGACTCAGCCTTTTCAGCGCTATCCTCCGAAATCGTGCCACTTCGATTGAAGTAGGGACGCAAAAGTAAGCGTAAGGCATCAGCCATTGGCAGATTTTCGGCGCTCTGATAAGCTTGCGGGTCAATAGATTGTGGCGGACTTGCGTGTGCTACATTCGAATAGGAACCACTGTAGTGGGGATCTTTAGAGAACATTGCTACAGTTGTATTCTCTAGAAAGGGATGTACTTGCTTTAAACGTGTTGTGCCGGCAGAATGAGTTTTTGTGACAGCGGTAGGTGCGGTTGGAGGTTGAAGGTAATTTGCAGGAGTACTGGTCAAAATTTCAGTTTGATATAAATTTGTGTTCGAAGGTGAAGACAGTAAATGGGGTTTGCCATCAACATTCGTGCTAAAACCACGTATGGGTTCAAATGAATCTACTAACGATCTGCCAGTGGGACGTGGCGGCGGCGAAGACTGCGTGGGATTGACGGGTGCCGGTGGTGAATTTTGATTTCGAATTGAAACGATGGAGTAAGGAGTTTGGGCAGTTGTGGGCGGTGGTGGTGGTGGTTGCAAGCCACCATAAAGATTAGAGGCTTCAATGGCATTTTGAGACACTGTTGTAGGCGGATTATATGCGCGTCTCGATGGGGGTGTAACATGAGTTGCTGGTGCATAGGAGTTTGCTGGTGCAGAAACCTGCAAAACGCTTTGTTGCTCAGTGGTGCGTTTTGGTGGTAGAAGCACTTGATTCGGTATTGGAATCCACTTGTTATCATTGCGATCGAGGGGCGTTCGCGCAGACGGTTGCGAATCAGCATTGGAGTCAAAGACCTCATCTGAGTTTTCTTCGGAACCAACAGGCTGTGCATAGTAAATGTTTGTGGTCGCATTTGCGTATACATTCCTATTAACGGATGCGGCTGGCAAGGAGTCAGCTGAGTTGAAAGGTGCTAAGGGGGTTGTATAAGTTTGGATTGTATTATAATTACGATTTGGTTCTAGCGATCCCTCTTCATAGATGACACTTTGCGTGGGCGTTTGGCGATCAAGTGCAGCAGACGTGCCGGCCCAACTCGCTGGACCGTTATTGTGTCGCAAGTCTTTGCCGTAAACGGGTAGCCGTTGCTGTCGATCATAATCTGGATTGTAGGTACCTTCGGGTATAAAACGTGTGTCGTCGTGTGGCACTGGGCGCTGTCTGTCCATATTAAACCAACGATCGCCACGCGTGTTTGTTCGGGAAGATGGCATTGTTGGAATGCCTCCATAACTATGACTATCGTATGTACCTCTATGATGTGAGGGAGCACTATTAGGTTGCGGTATCCATTCATTACGTGTGGGATTCCTGTTGTTGGATTGTGGTGTAGGTGCTTGGAAATGTGTGTTCGCATCATAGCCATGACCGCCATTATCTGAAACAAAAGAGTTACGAAATTATACGAAGAGTCAGATATGTATGTATGTAAGTAAGTAAGCGAGTAAAGAAATTTAGGTCACAAATTAAAGTAAAAACAATAAAAAAATAGCTCCTTTGGAGATGGGGTTGAGTGTAACATTAAACACATCTTGCACCGTGAAAGGGCAACATTTTTTGAAAGAAACGAAATCACCATAAGAACTACTGTGCAAAATGTTACTCATACGCCACCGCTTTTGCATATTTTTTGAGGTTGGAAGAAATCCTGAAGTGATGGAGAAAAAAACAGATTTCACATTCGTTTCAGCGTATCGAAATACATAACGAAAAGATAATCGGACCCCGAACCACGACACAATTTTTGTGTCAACCTTGGTTTGTTCTTTTTGATTTTTATTTTTTCGATAGTACCGTTATTTTCAGATTTAATTTTTTAAATCATACAACATATAAAACGGCCCTAAAAATGCGGTCTTCCTTACAACGGTTAAAACTGATTTAAAAAAAATACAAAATAACGTTTATTTTTGAAAGAAAAATTAAAAAAATAAAAATCCGAAAGTAACGAGTCAATGTGATCGAAAAAATAAAAATCTAAAAGTAACGATTTAATTAGATCGGAAAAATAGAGATCATAAAAAAACGATTCAAAATTTATTGAAAAAATAAAATGCATAAAATAACGATTATACTTGATAGGAAAAATAAAAATCCAAAAAAAAAAACATAATTTGATCCAAAAATATAAATCATAAAAGAACGATCTAAAATTAACGGAAAAAAATTAAAATCATAAAATAACGATTAAATTTGATCGGAAATATAAAAATCCAAAATAAAAATTATTTTTGATCAAAATAATAGTAAACATTAAAGAACGGTCCAAAATTAATCGAAAAAAATAAAAATCCCAAAATAACAATTATTCTTGATCGAAGAGATAAAAATACAGAAATAAAGATTAAATTTGATCGGAAAAATAAAAATCGAAAATAGAAATTATATTTGATCAAAAAATGGAAATCATAAAATAACGATTATTCTTGATCGAAAAAAATAAAAATCTAATATTAACGGTTAAATTATAGTTTTGGTAATAGAGATCATAATCGTTACGGTACCTGGAAAAGCAAAAACCATATTTTTCGAGCACCCCCTGCCCCTACCTGGCTACGCCCATGACTGTAGCCCCTAAAACCTTTTAATAATTTAAATATAAATTTAAAAAAATTTAAATCCGTTAGGAATTGTAGACTGTAGACCTTGCTGAATAGTAAATTTCTTATATGTTCCACTGTGCGCAGACTTACAAAACTATACCGCAGAAATCAAAATCTCCGCAAACACCCTATACTGCGTTATACCGCGCGGTATCGTGCCACCACATTTTATTTTTTTTTTTTGAACAGACCTTTTAAGCCAAAAATTATAATAAGAATTAAAAATTTGTTTTTAACCTTCAGGCGTGTCCTCTTGACGGACACCACCGTCTGCACAGCCAACATTGGCCATAAAATCGCATGTTTCCATTTTAACATTCCAAGCCGTACCGGGACCGCAATCTTTTATAGTTGCTATGTCATTATCACAATGAAGAAACTTTTTGCAATCCAAAGGATGCGGATAGACGCCAGAAGCACCAACAGGACATGCTACAGCTGGACTATTTCGAACTGCGCAAGTTGATAAGAAAACCATAAAAAATTCAATAATCATTCTTTGCTATCTCACAAATTTCACCTTGCAAATCACCAATGCCCAAACGACCGGAACAATCAACTTTATCCTCAAAATCACAAACTTCAAGCGCGGCATTAAATGCAGTACCCGGACCACAATCCATCTCATAGCTTATGCCGTTTGCGCAACGTAAGTATTTCTTGCAATCAGTTGGATGTGGATAAAGACCTGATTCACTTTCAGCGCAAATTGTAGACTGTGTAGAATCGACCGAGCTCTGTGTGTGAGCACCAACAGAGTTCGTATCCAAAGCACTCCATTCGACGACTTTGTGATCAAATGTGGCATAACCAGGATTTATATGCTGCCAGTCCGAACGTAACCACACGTAGTCTGTGCTTTCTGCTTCGTCAGTGGGTATGCAAATTTGGTTGGAAATGCTAAATACCGTATTTTGTGCGCAATTCTGAATAAGCGTTCGCCCATCGAGGCATTCTATGTATAGCAGGCCATCGAAGGGATAAACGAAATAGCCAACTGCTTGCGCTGGACAAACGATGTAGTGTTGATACGAGGCTATTTATAAAACGAATTGGTTGTAGTTAAGAATTTTCTATTTATTTTCTACTTTTACTATTTAACTAAGTACTCACGAATATCTGTAGCATAATCTTGCGAGCACTGTACGCGATCCACAGGTGTGACTTCCCTTGCAGCTAGACACATTCTCTGCGAAATACTAAAAACGCTGCCCGTCTGACAGGTTTGTATGATCGTCTCACCATTATTGCAATTCACAAAATGCTGTGCATTAAATGGATGCAAGAAGAGGCCTTGCATATTCGGCGGACATGCCACCCTGTTCTCAATTATCGTATTTGCTGCTGTATTAGGTAACTTTGTGCCTTGCATACAATTAACATTTTTTTCAAAATCACAAACCTCCATCTCTGCGCTCCATGCCGTGCCAGGAGCACACTCATTAACTTGTGTCACGCCATGCGAACATGCAAGGAATTTCCTACAATCATACGGATGCGGATATGTGCCTATCGCTTTAGGTGGACATTCCACATCAGCGTCTGCACTCACATCTTTTGCTAAATATTTATTAATTTATTGGATCATAAATAAGTAATGTGAGTCATAACGCAAACACTTAATGAACTTACGTTCTCTCTCACTCATTACTCCAGCTTCCTGAACGTCAGCGCCTGCTTTGTGATTGTCATATCCATTATCCGACCGCCAGTTACGATCATATTCGTTTACTTTCGTCTCATAGTCGCAGTATCTTCGGGTTGTGCTAAATATCATACCCTTTACACAATTTTCAATAGTTCCATGCCCACGGCTACATTTTATATATTTCGTATTATCGTAAGGGTAGGGATAGACACTGTTAGCATCTGGAGGACATGTTGTCTCGAGCAATTGATCTAAGGCGTTCAAATACCATGTTTTAAAATTTTTTTTTACGGTACGGTACGGGTAGTATTGTGAACAAGTCACTATTATTACCTTGACTCAATTCTGTTGAGAATTCATGTTTAACCTCACTTAGATATTCCACACGATCGTATGCATCTACTTGATTGCGATTTATACATTGCCTGCGCGATATGCTGAATACTTTACCCGGCGGACAACTTCCTACTTGACTTTGCCCATTATGGCAGCTAAGATATTTGGTACAATCGAACGGATGTAAGAAAAGCCCATCCATATTTTGGGGACAAATCAATTTAACTGCTTCTCGATTTGAATTGACTGCATTGCAAGGAATTGGGTATTATAAATAAATTAAAATCATTTTAATTATTATCTGAAGACTTTCAAAGCTACAGATGCATATTTGCTTGTATGATTGGTGAAATAATGCAAGTCAAGAGATTGTACTCGTAAGATATTCGTCGAATCTATTGCTCGCAAAAAATACTCGAATACACCATTGCAGAGTGGGGAGTCTAAAATATACCCGCAGTAAGGCATACACCTTCACCACCAATGCATCTCGGGAATTAAGCAGATGCCAGTAACAATACTCTCTGCAACACCGGCTCTAGGAATAAGGATAAATTTTACAAAGGCAATATTAGGACCAAGGTAGCCCAGTACGGTCAGCAACACAAATACTGAGCCTTCTATGGTCTCCAGTTATAAACTCATCCCACATTGAACCGCTTTCGTGATCTTGATTCGGATGAACACAGGTCCAGCTTGATGACCTGCAGTAGGATCAAGAACCCCTCTAAAGCATTGTACAAAAATCGATGCTTATCATATGGCCACCTCACTGATCAAGAAAGATCAGGGCTCAAAGTTTATTTCGTAAAAGTGCAAGTACACACTCAACGAGAAAACTCAAAAGTTCCAGATTTCGATATCAAATTTTACCGAAAGGTCATGCGATCCGTATATGTGTGGAATCGAGAAAAAAGATGAAGTCTACCCAGGAGCAAGCTGAATGTTGTTGAATCCCAAACACCCAATTCTTCTAAACATATGTATACCAACCTAAGAGTGAAGAATAGTCAATATGGGGGAAAATAACGAGCATCAATGCAGGTTCTCTCGATTCTTAAAACGAGAACATATACATTTTAGCGAAGAGTTATGCGAAAATTACCGAGCCAAGGACGAAATTCCGTAGATGACAGATATCAGTTCCAAAGAGATCCCCAGGATCAATTTAAAAGTGCGGTCCAATATGTTAGACTGGAGCTTCGCAAAAACTAGACATACATCCCAAGAGTAAATATTCAGAAGACTCCACCACATCGTCGTCTAAGTAGACTCACTCCTTGAGTACGTATGTGACAGTAGTCTGTTAATATCCCAGTAGGAAGTGTATAGCAGTACCCCGTACGCTATATAATGCATTGCGTTCAGTTCCAGGGTGAGAGTGGTCCTAACTACCTTACAGATTCCACTACGTACATTCACGCACTGTACCCGCACCAGCCTTCTGACCAGGTAAGCGCCTCTGATCGAGGGAAGAGTGGCGTGTGGTATCTTATACGAATTAAAAAATCAATTGATTAGTGCCCACACTGCCATACATACATACACACATATGTAAGTGAGCGTAAAAAAACGTACATAACTGCAAGGTGTCACAGTTGGGTGGTACGAATTTCGAGCTGGAAGCATCATTGGATCATACTACTTATTTACTTGAAAGATGGTGTGCCTACATTTTGGCATACAATTTGAATAAGAGCGGTTTTCTCAAGTAGGTTTTAAAATTTAACTGCCCTTTGAAGAAAAATTTTGTTCAGAAAAAATGTGTTTGATGGGCAGATAAATTTTAGAAAATACTTGAAAAAAGAGCACATAATTTTACCCTTAAAAAGATTGTGACACGTTAAGTCTAATAAAACAGCACTATACGTAATACGTTACTAGCTTCTTGACTTGCAGAAATCATACAAGCAAAAATACATTTACAAATACATATATATTTTTCTCTATTTTCTAACTCACTGTAATTGTAATCCGATTCAGAGACCCTATCTTGGCCAACGTCAAGCTGAAATTGAACTTGTTCATTGACGTTGACAAGTTCCTTGGGATCACAATGTTTGGCAGACAAACTGAAAACGTTGCCCGTTTTGCAACTTTCTACACTCAACTTTCCATTGCGGCATAGCATAAATTTTCTACAATCAAAAGGATGTGGATATAAACCAGATTGACCTTGAGGGCAATCGAGCGGCTGATCTACGTAGTTCCGCGCTATAAATTGATTTCACATGGAAATTATATGTAAACGTCTTGAACATTTCATATAAATAATTAAATAAAAAACAACGAACACTTACAATCTCTGATTTCGGCATTCGAATTGGCTGCCACTGCATTGCGCACACGATCGCCAATAGTCACTTCACTTTCCGGGCGACATGTCTGCGCTGATATACTGAAAACCTTATGCGACCCGCATTTGTCAATCGACATGCGTCCTTGTCGGCAAGTTATAAACTTTGTAGAATCATATGGATATAAATGATTGCCATCCGTGCTCGGTGGACAACTGACCATCGTCGAAGCTGTGCGGTAGGTAGATTAGTGATGAAAATTTTGTTTGAAAACACTGAAAAAGTAAGGACTTTTCAGCACTTACGCAATTGTTGCACTTCAGATATGACGTAATCGACGTGATCGGTGTTGGGCGTTTTTTCTTTGAGATCACAGTAATTCCTCGATATGCTGTACACTGACCCAGGCATACAGTTTTGTATGGCCGTATTACCGAGTTTACAGTTCAGGAATCTCGTATAGTCGAATGGATGTGGAAAGAGGCCAATTACGCCTGGTGGGCAGAAAATATCGCTTTCTTGGTTAGCGGTCGAGCCGTTCTCCTCATCTCTGGTATTGTCATAGTTGTTATTTTCTTAAAATACAATTTATTTGTATTTTATAAATATTTCTGGATTTCGTTATACACTGCCGGAGAAACGTATTGGCACAGCGAATTTTTCACAATATATGCAACAATTTTTATTCCAATATTTTTTCGCTATTTTTTTACAAATAATAATAAAGTTGAAAATTTGCATGAAAATTTTAGCGAGCTTTGCACAAAGTTGAGCAATTAAATTTTTACATTTTTATAAAAAATTGGCGGAAAAATATTAGAATAGAAATTGGTGCATATATTGTGAAAAAATCGCTGTGCCAATACTTTTTTCCGGCGGCAGTGTATGTACTTATAAGCCTAAGGAAAAATTATTCATGCGATCCCGTATAATAGATTTTATGTGTACACATAAAGTTAATACGAAGCATAAGCCAAACGATTTTTTTTATTAAATTTTTTGGGAGGCATTGAAAAAATTTGATTATGATTCCATGCATTCAAAACACTTGCTATTGATTTGTTTTTGTTAGTAATATATTCCATGTTATTTTCAATTGTAGTACGGATAGTTTTTTTTTTGTCATGTTTCAGTTTCTAAGACCAAAGTCAGTTCTAGATTCAACAGCTTACTATAGGTACTGTTAAAAATATGATTTGTTTAAACTATTTTCGATAATAACGAAAAGGTGGTACTTCATGGGTGGTCCCAGACTAATTTGGTTTAGCACCGATCATGGGACCATGAAATTAACGGTACTCCTAAATTTAAAAAAATTACAGTTATGTACCTGTAGTTAATTTTTGATGAAATTTTTTTTTGTGATCAATTTTTTAAACTATTTACACATCATCGGTTGAGTGGAAGATCGCCGTATCTCGGCTGCGGGATCGAAAACGCCATATCTCAGCAGAAGTTTGAAAAATGCTCTATTTCAGAATTTAGTTGAAGAACGCCCTATCTCAGCTACCGCTTCGAAAACAAATTCACTGTACGATGCTCTAGGATCCCAATGGACTTTCCGCCTATACGATTCCAGTTGTGCTTGAATGGACGCAGTTGATTGAACTTCTCACTGGATTCAGCACATTTAAATAAGTTTTAATTTATAAGCACTAAGAAAGCTATCCCAAATAAAATACCCAATGGTAATCAAGCAGTAGCTATGTATATAGTATTTCTTAAAAACGTTCAACAGAACAGAATCAAATTAAACTTGAATTTCAAGTTTAAAACTTCATGAAAATTCAGGGCAGTTAAACTGGATAATAGCTAGCTGGAATTGATGTCTATTCCGTGCCGGATTGAATGAAGGACCTTGGTTTTTGTTTTACAGACTTCAGACTAACAACCGACATTCCAAATTAAACCTTATATCCGGGGAAAATAACTTGATCTAGAAAAACAGAAAACAGATTCGTAATCTACGACTCAAAAATTAAGTTTACGGGTTTCGGCGTTTTTTTTGTGTCATTTCAAAACTTGAGATTTTCCCTATAGTAATTATTATTCTTTTCCAAAAATCAAATAAAAAGCAGCTGCGAGAAAATCGTGTTATCTCTGCCTAATTTGGTTTAGAGTAATTTTCACAGTGGCGAATTACGACGAATGACGACTCCCAGAGACTGTTCTCGATGCCCTAGCTCATGTGGGGCTGGTTCACAAGTTTATCGGTCACCATTTAGGTAGCAGAGCTATATATTCGGAGAGGTATCTGTAACAAGATAGGCAAACCGCGGCCACCCCTGAAGGCAATGTACTTCCTCTTCTTCTTTGAAATTGAACGGGAATGAACAAGTACGGTAAGGAAAAAATTTAGCCTAAAGCCTCACGCTGTGAACTGGATGTACACAGCGGTTACAAAGGCTCAAAAGGTGGCAGACAAAACCCCCAGAGACTTTGCTTCACTTTATGTCTGTTGACTTATATGGTTAACTACAGGCAAGTTTTAATACTTTTAGATTAAACGCGTTCATGAAGTTTAATGATACGTGGTTCGGCCACTCGACTAGAATTTTGGAAGATCTTTCGGCAGACTTCAGGCGCCTGGACTACACAGTCTCGCCCACTAAACTGAGGAATTATTTGCAAACACAGATTTACCAGCCATCTACGCTGCAAGTTGAATTTAAAAGTTTAAATGGGGTATACTCGCAAGAACTCTCACTTAATCTTAGTTGTCGTCTGCCCAGATCTCTGCAACCTCTTTCAGGCTGAACTAACAGCAACCAACGAAGTTGCAAGATGATTGACTGATTCTTCTATTATGAGCAGGCAAGGAGCTACGTCGCTCATGTTACGACATACCGGGCAACTGTGTTGAGAATGAACTGGCAAGAAAAGGAAACTTACTGTCTGCAAACAGTTCTTCCCATAACTCGTACAGCACTGCCACTGCCCCGCATTGGCGAGGGCTCATTGACGCTCGTTCCTCCACCATTCTTTCGAATGTCTGGCAGAACTGGATTCAGTCAGTTTCTTCGATTTTTTGCGCTGCATCTAAGCTACAAATCGGGGTTTGCTTCTAAGAATACAATTACAATAGGCTGATGGTGACCTCTATGTGCTTTCTCTTCGGGCGCTGGAGGAGGCCAGCCCAGATAACCTAACTAAACCTAACTCTCGTTCCGCAGGAAACTGTCGTTTTCGATCGCAAACGTTTTAAGTTAACTGCCAGATATGGGTCAAATATACCCTGTAAAAATTAGCCTTAGCGGTCTAAGAAAAAACCGTTTTTATGGTATACGTAGAGACACTTATTTATTTGCTTTGCCCTGAAGAAATCTGAGAACCGGAAAGTATTTTTGATAAAAATTTTGAGAGTTTAATAAGCATGAAAGATGTTGGAGCCTTTATTCCAGTGGAAAGGGGTATTCTTATTATCACATTGATTACGAGTAAAAATTATATGTACTCTTTTGCCCATGCATATACAAAAGAAAAATAATTTAAGTATAAACACTTACCATACTGACGTCCATCTCGACTATTCAATGCCCCATTTCCACCATTCTCCCGACCACTGCAATCCACTTTCTCCTTGAAATCACACGTCTTCATTGAAATGCTGTAAGCAGTGCCGGGTCCACAGTTTTGTACATGCGTATTACCATTAGCACAATTCAAAAACTTCGTACAATCTGTTGGATGCGGCGCCAAGCCATTCACGCCTGCAGGACAAAGCGAATCCACATTACCTGTGCTGACATCTAGGAGTCGACCTGCACGATATTTATTAGGATTCGACGCCGTCTGTAGCGTTGTTTGCCTCACGTTCAGCTCACTGCTAACTCCATTCACGCCCGGTGTGCCACATACCACCTTATCAGGGCGATCACATTCGAGTGTTTCAGGATTAAAAACTGTACCTGGGCCACAACTCTGTATGTGGCCGCGACCATGCCAACAGTTTACAAAACGACGACAATCATACGGATATGGTACTGGCCCAGTGTGTTGTGGCGGACAACCACTATTGTGGTCGCCTATTGAGTTCTCTGTCCCACTCCAAGCGCTCTCCACTTGTCGCTCTGAGGGCGGCGAATGACGCACGTGCGCTGGGCGATTAAATATCGGTTGCTCGCGTTGCTGATAAGACTCAGCTTGTTGTGGGTTTAAATGTTGCTGCTGGTGTTGATATGAAGGCTGCTGCTGTTGCTGTTGTTGCTGCCTGCGCGGCTCATCAATGTGTTGGTGAGAATCGGGTGGTGATAACCTCAATGAGGGGGCACCGTAATTTGTATTATCATAACTGGGGCTAAACCTGGAGTCGCGAGGATGTGTGTTTGTGTACGGCGGAGATTGCTGATTTTGTTGTTCAGCATTTGGCAAGTCTCGATGGTAGGATCTTGTTTTGATACCCGAATTAGCTGGGTCATATGTCTGAAAATACAATATGCAGTTTTGATTTAATATATACAGCTGCAAGCAGGTGTCTGTCTTAAAGTAAGCAACATTAGCCCAAGCTTTGGTTATTCACTGAGTTTGAGGCCCGTTACCTAAAACAAACTTCCACCCTTCTTTTGATACGACCACGGCGAATGATTACAGGGCCATGATTTGAGATTATGCACCTGGAATGTCCAGACCATTTAGGTGGCTCTCTACCCGGTTGGTTAATGTCCTCGAAAAGACGAAAGCTGACATCTATCCAAGAACTGCGACGGATGGGGCGATGTAGTTATTATGCAAATGAGTAACGCACAATAGACCACCCAAGATGTCGCAGTGCTCAAGGCTCATAATAATTAGCTCTGATCCAGTACTCCATGAACTTACAGGATTTTACACGAACATGCAGGAAGTTGCAGGAAAAATGTTCCCGTACTCCAAAATCCTCCAAAATCCTGTAAATGAGAGCGACTTTGGAGAGTTGTGTAGAGAATGAAGTTGCAAGATTTTACCCGAACTTTTTCTTCTGGTAAAATTATGAAAAGTGTCAAGCAATCACTGGTTGACGTTTTTTCAGGAAAAATGTTTTTTTTTGTTCCCGTACTTTTTGTTGTTACTCACTTTTTACTCTCACTTCAGAGAGTAATTTTGCCGTTTGACAGTTTTACAGGATTTTTCACGAAAAGTATTGGATCAGAGCTATTATATGCAAATGTGTCATTCACCACGCTGCACGCGCATCTCCTCGTGATCTGGATGAAAGCGAGATGGGTTGAAAGAGGGAAAGGGACCAAGGGGTATGCTCTGTATTACGATTCGAAACTCAATGCGATTCGAAAGGCGACAGGGACAGGGATATAAAATCATAGTGCCAAGTATTCGAATCCGAAAGATTTGCTTTGCAAATCGCAATACAGAGTAGACCCTCAAGTGTCGAAAAATCTCTTTCGAGCGCTAGCTACGACCGAAGATTAAATTAGTGCTTAGTAATTTTAAGACCAGGGTGGGCAAAGAATGCATCTTTGATCAAAAAATCTGAAAATTTAGCCTCCTCGAGGAAATTTCTGATAAGGAATTGAAGTTGATCGACTTCGCTGGGTATCAAAATATACAGCACAAGATTCCCGCATAAGCGTCAAGCTACATAGTGGCCTCCTGATCGAAAAACGATGAGCCAAATCTGCTATGTTGTGATAGATGGAAACCACGCTTGCAGTGTTTTGGATTTACGTACGCGTCGAGGAACGATCTTCAACTCAGACCACTAACTTGCTGCAGCTAAGGTAAGTGCACGCCTCTGAGCTCCCAGTCGATGATGACGGAGCCGATGTCCCATCGCCCGGCGAGGGATGAATAACAAGTCGCCTGACCGATGCGCTACTCAAGTTCGGGGACAAAGACCTGGTAAGGTATATGCATCAATTTTAAAGCGGAATATGGTCAGATGAACGCATGCCCGACGACTGTTATCTATGTGTGTTCAGCCCAATGCACAAAAAAAAAAACGTTCTGGGCTGTTCGATACCAAACGATATTAAGGTTTTATATCAAATAACGTCTTAAAGTATTAAACGCGGGTCGCTGTTCTGGTATCAAAGCAATGAAATGATCAAGTGGAGACGGGCTTGGCTTCACTAAATAGGCATTTCCAATTGGCGTCAGTTCAGACAAAAGAGGAGACTACTGGCGTGCTATATAAAATCGCTTTGGCGATTTCAGCGCAAAATACTAGTAAAAGGATAAATAGTCAAAAAATCGTTGCATATACTAAGGCGCTCATTGAAGTAGCAAGTGCTGAAGAAAAATAGAAGAATTAATGTTTCAATTACTCAAAAAATTTATGTTTACTAATCGAGTTCATAAAAAAAAAACTACAATTTTACCCCAAAATGAGATAGAAAAGATACTAAATAAAAAATTTGTTTATACATTTGTACTCATTTATATTTAAATAAAAAGAAACACTCATCTTATGAGTAAACAATTGAAATTTTTGGTAATACCCTTATCAGCGCAAAATTATTCTTGCACCCATACACATAAATAGTATGTACATATATATTTATGAATCATAATCATAAAAAACCCCATTTTTTTATTCTTCTTATTCTTTAGGCACAAGCACAGAAGCTGCGTCATTTATTAAAAAAATAAAAATAAATAAAATATAGTACATATTTCAAGTATCAATCCACAATGTTTACTTCGAGTTACAATTATTACATTTTTCGAAGGAATATGCAATTAATTACCTCAAAAAATAGCTATAAGTACAACAAAGTAAGTCAATAGGCGTCGTCATCTAAAGTGATAAAGGGATAAATTGCTTAAATTTATCAGTTTAGCCGCATTCTTACTTGATTGAACCCATCTTGGTAAATAATTGCATATAATTGTTTATTATTTAACTTTTCATGCTTACATTGTCCATTATGTTCATTTGCTTTTTATGTGTTCGTAGCGAAAGCGACCAGCTGGCAACTTGTCAGCATTGCATTTCGTTTAAATATTTAGATTTCTATACAAAGTTTGACAGTCGAAATGATAAATTAATTAATTTATCAAGTTTATCAGAAGTTTATCACTTTAGATGAAGACCCCTAATATGTAGCTTGTTATTGAATATAAATGATAATAACCCCGCCATCAACCATAAACATCTGAAAGTGTATTTGATTGAAGAACGCCCTATTTCAGAATTTTATTGAAAAACACGCTATCTCAGAATTTTGTTGACGAACGCCCTATCTCATAATTCGGCTGCAAATACATAGAAAATGTGCAAATATACGGTGTTTTTGAAACTAATTCTGAAATAGGGCTTTCTTCAACCAAATTCTGAAATAGGACGTTTTTGAAAAGTTTTTTGAGATTTTAAGCAGTCGATTTCTGAAGTGATTGAAGAGGGGTTTGCCAAGTTAAACTCTAATTATTTAATAAGTTAAATGAATTGTTGCAATACGACGAAAATACGACGAATCAAACGAAAAGGTTTGGAAAAAGCTTCATTTCTAAACCACATGTAAGTTGCCACCTATTTAAAAAGTCAAATTGAGTTTAATTTCAGAGAGTGAGATATTCAAATATGGGTGTCAGACGAAAGACGTTTAAAAAGTTCTAGTTTGAAAATACTATGAAGGGGATTGAAATAATAAAAATTTTAAAAACTTCTATGTTTTTGGCAAAGTCAAACAGAAAATACGTTTTAAGCTACTTCTAGAATGAATATGCGTATGCTTTTACGATATAGCAAATAATTTTGAGATAGAGGATTCGGGAAAAATACTCTCGTTGAATAAAAGTATTAGCTTGACCTTTAAAATTACCCAAAAAAAGGTTTTATTTTATTTTCTTTTTTATCCGAGACCATTATCAAATAAAAAAGTTTTAAACACATATATTGCTGCTATGGCGTCAGGGAATTCATTTCCGTGGTCGCAAGAACCGGGAAAACGTTTTCAGTTCAAAAATAAAATATTTTAAATTTTAATTTTTTAAGTCAGGTAATTCTTTATTGAACCAGACCTTTAAATTGACATTTAATAATAACAATTTTTTTTTTGTTTTACCTTAACAAAAACAGCTTTGCCCATCTCAAAAGCTTTAAAATACCGTTACAGTTTTTTGCTATCTCTTCACGTTCTCGAGATATATCTGACTTTGTCCCTTTTTTTTCAAAATAGAATATAGTGCGACGCTGCATACAGATGTATACAAACTATACGTATAAATATATTTCGGTACTTATACAATTATTTATATTAAACATTTTTGTTAACTTTGATAATGCACACTGCATATTTATTTAGCAAAGAATAGCGATGTAGATATGTGCGTACATACATATGTATGGACGACCAAGTGTGTATACATATGTACATACATATGTACATATGCATCTATAAGTAGGTATGTACATACATATGTACAAAGTAAATACTTTCTTAAACATACAGTAAAAACAAACAAATACTTACACCCTTAATGATAACAAGTTGAGTCGCGCAAATAAGAAACCACAGCTTCGAAAACATTTTAATTTTAATTAAAAAAACTTGCTTTCACCAAAAAATGCACTGCCTATTTTACTTGTTTATATAGTTGTGTAAATCTTTTTGTTTTTTAAATTGCTTTTTTAATTACTTTTATTACTTCATTTAAACAATTTCAAAATATTCAGGTGGTTGCACTGCATAGTTTTTATGGCTTTAATATTTACTTATGTATATACATACATACATATGTATCCAAGTCACTCTTTATCAAGTTGCACACACGATTTTTTTCTTAAACAGAAACACTACAATGAATCCCGCGTACTTTTCGACAAATACGGTGGTGTTTTCCCAACGAGCAGTATTTGCGTTTTAAAAGCAAACAGACGTTCTTAATTTCAATTAAGCGCCTATAGCTCCAGCTCCTGCTTCGTATCTCATGGTAGACACAATTAAGATTGTGTAGTACCAGTGAAATGAGAGCAAAATTAAAATCATTTGAATGTTCAATGGATTCGTTAAATACATTCTTACATTATGTATGTATGCATATACACATCTTGTTGTATATGTGTGCAGACGGACAAACGTACATATATTTGCATGCTCCTAAATACAAGTGCACGTTCAGGGTTCTGTTTATGCTGCGGGAGTAACTAAAAGAAGCACATAAATAAAGTTCTACATAAATGAACTTATGAGTACTACAAGTGAGTGTAGTATGCAAAAAATGTATGCTTAGAAACGCTCATGTAGTATATGCACTTACAAAAATATGTATGTATGCCAATAAATAATAAATTCATGTTCAATATTATAAATTACACTCGTGGCCTTCTTGTCTTAGTATCGTCAAAACAAACTAATCAACCACAATTATCGCTAGTGGCAATCTCTAGACCTTTCCGTCACATATATATTGACACAAACATCCATCAATTGGTATTCTTATCAGGGACTTGAGAGATTTAACTGCATTGAGCTACATGAATAATGCGTCTCTTGTAAATACAAATCCAAACTATTTTGATTATTTTTGAATTTAGAAAATAATTTGTGTAATAAATCATACATATTTGCAGAGCGTTATCATTGCGCTGATACCCAAACAGGAACCAGGAATTCCCAAGAGGCGAGAAATAACTATGACGTATTGAGCTCTTGTTGTTGTTGCAGCATTGCCAAGACATTAAACATTCCAATATGTGCGTGGCCCGCGATGTTATCCAGTTGAACATACAGGAAAACTGCAGTTTGAATATATTTATACTCTACTCGTGTATAAAGTAAATCGGTCACATGCACAGCTTATTTTAAGTGTAAGACCTAAAGATTAATGGGCAAAAGAAACTCATTGAAAATGTGCATATATTACATTTCAGTAAAATAACATTTTTCTGCTCACAACTGCGCCTTTATATGTATAACTAGAAAGTAAAAGGCGTGATAATTTCCATTTAAGGAACAGCATTTTCTATTTACGAGTCTCTTCACTTTTTGTTACATTTGAGGGTTTCTCTAGAGATTTTTCTTCCGTTTTTGTTGTAAGAGTTTGCATTCTAACCCACATTCGTTCATATGGGTTCGGAACTTCCGAATTAGTAAGTGGAATACCAAGTGAGCGGCGTACTACAGGTGAAGCCAGCAGCAGATTTTGTGCTAAACCGTGACAACTAGAAGCCACCCAATAAACGCAAAGAGCCTGTAATATTAAAAACAATAATAACCAAAAGTAATATATCTATGTATGTATACGTTTCTACAAATGTTTGGTATCTTACCGATGGCACAGAACAGGCCACTGGTACCAATGCAATAGTCAGCAAACGAAACACATTTGTGGCATATTTTTGCAAACGTGTTGTGGGACGCGTACGCAATACAGTTTGCAACTAAAAGAAATGAAGAGTTTAAAAACGTTCAGTAAAGCTACATAAATATCGCTGGCTCTTACCTCTATTATGCCCAAGTTAATTAGAGCAAGTGAAACAGGAAGAATGTAAGAACTGTCCACTTCCGTTAGATTCGGTATCCACCCAAAGCCACCTATTGTCATTTCAGTGTAAATAATTTGTGCCTGCAGCGTTGTGGGGTCAGGCATCATATGCACAAGATTTCTCAATGCAACTGATTGGCATATCCATAATGGTATTTGACCCCAAAGCATAATGAAGGTTTTCGCCGGATGACAATTATCGCGTACAATTAACGCATTCCATTGCTTTTTCAACTGAGAATAAAATCCAACAAATTATTTTAAATTTCAATAACTTAATCATGTTATTAACTTACGCACCGACCGGTTGTACACTAGCCTAGTTTGGCTTTCGGTCCAATTGAACTTTTTCATAGCCATGGCAGCTTCCTTCTTCAATTCGGCAACAATTGCAGGCATTTCTAATGCTAATAATTCTAAGCGTGCCATTATTTTATTTTGATATATAGCCAAGGGCAGCGTTATTACGGTGCGAAATAGCATTGTGGACATAACAATTGAAGCCCACCACGGTAGTCCGCTGTAGTCATGTATCGCTGTCAATGCTTCCTGCATGCAAGCAACTGGTGCACTTTGTGACAGGGTTAGCCATATGCCTGTGAACGGAGAGTGCACTTGTTCTGTTATAATTGCAGTACTATTGGTGGCGGCTTCCGCAAGTCCACGGTGTTGCAATCGCAGAACACCAACACTTGAGGTTGTGATGCTACTGGCACCAGACATTTGTTTTCTTAAACTATTTGTTGAAGAGATGCAGGAAAAAGAACGCTCACATATGGAAAATTGAGGGCTTTGAAACAAGCGTATTGCGTTTTTGTACCGTAAAATTCCGAAATTATTCATTTTTTAACAGAATAAAAAATTTAAAAAAGTGTTATGCATGGAGTAAACAAAACAAAATCGAAAACAGCTGTGAATGTCACTCGACGTCATTTATGTAAGTGCTGGTAAACGCTTGACGTAAATATGGATGCCGGATGTAAAAAAAAAGTATAATCCAATAATCTGTTCCCGCAAAGAACGTAAATGTACTCGCTAAAGTCGGCGAGCGAGGTCTGACAGGTTGAGATGAGGAGTTCGCGTCCGTTTTAAAATCAATTTTCGTAAATGAATTCGCCGCACATTTGGTTTCGCGCCGATAAAGAACGTTGAGAAAAAGTGATCGATGGTAGAAATAATAAAACAAAATGAAAAAAAACATGGCCGCAGCTCTTTTTGTTTATTTGCAGACGGCATAAAATACACTTTTTCAATCACTTGTGCAAAATAATCACCGACATTCAAATTTGCCACTTTTCTTCTGTTTTGTTTGCTGTTTCCGCATTCGAGGCGAAAATCAAAAATCTGCTGCGGAGAATTAAAAGGGAGACGAACTCCTCATCTCAACCTTTCAGATACGGTCAAAATCGTCGAGGCACATTTTCAAAGTAACGAGTTGTCGCTTCTTATACATTTACGTTCTTTGGTTGAAACAAGATTAAGCCATAGGGTGTAAATACAATATTATTTGTATGCATATACTAAAACGAACACAGCTGGCAGTATTGCAAAGATTTTTTATCGAATATGTGTGGAAAAAAGTAGCAAATCAAAGGCATAAAAATAAGTTATTTTGCAATAGACGCATTACAAAAGTCGTTTTAGTATAATTTAAGCAAAGAAAAATTACTAAAGAACTGAAAATTTGGAAAAAGCGGTAAGCTGAAATCTGTAATTTGAATATAAAATTGGAATAAATAAGGGCAGGAACCCAATTTTTGTTCTTCAAAATTTTTAGTTTTACAAAATCACAGACACTTCATTTTTGCGTCGTTAATTGTACGTGTCGCTTTGCAAAACAAAAAATAAATACAGAAAAAAAAAAACAATTAAAATACCATCGATTGTAAAACAAAGGATTTTAGCTGTTGGGATTAAGGGTAATTTGGGTAGCAGAAGTAAAATGATGATAAATAATTTTTTATTGTAGGTAGTTGGGGGAAAATTGTGAAAGCAGACGAGTGGGAATCGAAGTCACAGTGACGCAGATAAGGGCGAAAAGTGAGATTGTAAAAGACTCGCTTAGTGCCTATTATACGCGTAAATATGAGCCGTTGTGTTACGCCAGAATGGGATCGGATACCTACTCTCGTATTGGGAAACATATATGAATATCTCGAGCCAAGGGATCGATTAAATGCATCGCAGACATGCCGTCACTGGCGTGGGGTGCTCTTCCAAAAGAGGTGTGTATTCTAGATATATTGCTTTGGTTTACATACTAGATACATATGTATATACATAAGTATGTATGTATTGCCATTGTGGATCTACAGTAGGCCGTTTCCGTTACTGCTTGATAAATTTTTTTAGATTACAAAATCTTAGTTAAAATTATGAATGTATTTTGCTAATACGTATGTAAATACTATGTTTACTAACATATTTTATCGTACAACTTAAAAAAATTGATTTAACTCGCAGATTTTTCGACAACTTCAAGTTAAAGTTGCACGTCAACAATGAGCGGCAGTGTACGTTTTTTCGTCAAACGCTTTGTAATTTGGCAACTGAAGTAACGCTCATATTTGATTTTCTAAATGTTTTCCATATCGAAAAGATAAGGCGTATCCTCTATAGGTGTGTATCAAAATACTTTATGTTCCTTTCATAATTTGTTATAACCGTATTAGTAATAATAACTATTTTGTTTTTCATTTTGAAGGATTGCTCGTTGTGATAATTTGCAAGGCCTACATTTTTACACTAACAATGTTGGCTTAATCCCACCTGGCGATATAAGTGAAGAGAGCCTTGTCGACATTGAACAGTATGAATTGCTTAAATAGATTAATTTGTAAAACATATACTTACATATAAATTTATATCGTATTTTTAGATGCTTTGTGGAGCCGCTGAAAATGTTTTTAAATCGCAAAAAATATCCATGCCAAATTTTGGATTTAGGTGCAATCGAAGCTTTAACCTACTACGGTTTAGATGTACTAAAAGCTTTAAGCAAACCCGAAGCATTACAGCAGCTAACATTGGCTTCGATTAAGTTCGATCCTAGTCATTATCCCATATTTACCTTAGAAACTACTTTGCTGCAAAAGTGCACATCACTACAGGTGAAAATTATAGATTTTTTTTTATATTTAATTTCTTCATTTATTATACTAATTTTTTATTTAAGGTTTTATCACTCGATTACGATACCCTGAACGACGAGCTATTGCGTGCCATGGAAATTCTACCCTTGAAAAAGCTCTTAATTTGTATACATGGCTTGGATCGTCAGCATCCTGGTATTTCCGATGTAGCTTGGACTAGATTTGGTGCCTCCTTTCCGAATATCGAATTAATTGTATCTTTAGTGTATGCGTTTGAAGCCGTGGAAGTGCTGCAAGTGCGCATATTGCGTCACAACATGCCAATAACACATTTGAGAGTATTATTTTGTGACTTTGTAAGTAATAATATTTTCATTGCTAATTTTTTTTGGGCTGTATATTATTTATTTGTTCTTAAATCCATTTTAGATGAACGTCGAGGCCTTAGAGTGGATGTCGGTCAATAATAGCAATACACTGAAGAGTATCCAGTGGATAGATTCAGTTAGTTTACATACACACTTATTTTAAAAGCTCATTCACTGAGGTTTCTTTATATTTTTCGCAGGCCTACAAGCATTCCGATAAAAATGTGATGGATTTATTTTTACGCTCCGGACAAGATCCTTTCGTAATGATGTCTTGGCGTTGCAAAAACTTAGAGGAAATCGTTATACATGGCTATGTGCTAGATCCACACAATATTGTTGGGATTTCACGCCTTCGTGGCCATACACTCAAACGCCTAGAAGTATCTATGATCGATAACACTCCCACAGAAGCAAGCATGGATTCATTTATTGAAGTAAATCAGTCTTTTTTTAAGCTATTATGTATAAGTTTACTAGCTTACATTATCTCTTACAGGAAATCAATACATTGCTTGGTCAAAAATGGGAGCCTCTCAATCCAAATACTTTACATCCTGCACTCGGTTACATACCAGTGTCAGATGATGTACGTGATGAATACGTTTTCGATCTCATGCGTCGTGATATGGGCTACTAAAATATTATAATTGCACCAACTCATACCACAACTTTTATGCAAATTTAGGTAAGTTTCAAGTAACTTTTTATATTATTGGCGTCAGTAAAATCATTATTTTACTTGTAGGTTTACTGTAGTTATATTATCAAAAATACAAGAACGTAAAAGCAAACATGTTCGATATGGCAGAACATGTGCGGGTGTGCAAAACGCTCATAAGGAAAAAATGCCTTAAAAATCAAGCGTCAAAAAACAACAGCAACCAAAGTCAAACGAAAAGTGCGATCATAAAGGCTTTGCAGTGATATTTTATTTCTATAATTTTAAAACTACATCAGTCCAAGCAAAGAAGAAACAAAACTAATGAACATTAGCTAAAACGAACATTTAAGTATTGCAAAGAAAAAAAAAATCAACAACAATATCTTATATAAAGATTAGAGTTATAAAAGAACACTAAAACGAAAAATGGAGAAGCATCAAAACTCAATTACCTACGTATTCATAAAAACTAACAAATATATTTAGGCGATAATAGTTTAAGGAAAAACAATAACAACTACTCCTGTGATAAAGGAGAAAATAAATTAATATGTATGCACATATACAATAATACAATATTGATTGGTGGCTCAAGTGCAACGTTAAACATACAAAGATCCTTAAGAAGAAATCACGCATTGCTCCCGAAAAAAAAATAACAACAAACAATTGAATTGTAATGGAGACCAAGTACAATTGTTACCACAGTTGGTTTTTTTACCATCAATAACGATGAAAAAGAAATGCCATAAACGCGAAAAACGAAATAGCGTGGAAATCTAACAAGAAGGCATAGTCTAGTTGGCTCCTATATTAATCAAGAAAGCATTCTAACTTAATTTTTTTATTTATTATGTGTGCATTACACAGGCTTAATGTAACAACAAGAACAATGTAGATTTCATCCCAATCTGCGTATGTAATTTTATTCATAATTTTTTATATAGACATATGTACGTATACAAACCAATAAGCAATGTGTTTATAACTGCAACACGAACATATATTCCATATTACTTTATTTCTTCGCTTTATAAAAAATAATCTACTTACATACTACAATGAAATTAAATTTACTTGATTTATAGTTGATTATGCTTGGTTCAATCATGAAAAATGGCATATTTTTATAACGAAAAAATTGAAGTGCACGCCGGTTCAATTTACGCCTACGGCCGAAAAGTTTATTGTATTTATGCTCATTTATGTAATCTTAAAACTTTTGACTGCATAAAATTTACAATACTAGACTAATATTATTTAAGCCAATGCTTAACGCTATAAAAAATCTAAATTTATTATTATTATTATTATTCCAATCGATGTCAAAAGCAAATTTTTCGAAAGTATAACACCAAAGGGGGATAGAATTTATGCATATATAAAATGCATATATGAGCAAATCCCACGAGTGGTTCACCTATCTTGGAAAATGCATTATCTTCAGTTTTGTATAGAGAACAAGATTCCATCGCGAAATTGTATTTAAATGAAAACTTAAAAAAGATATACCAAAAAAGTAGAAATAACCACAATGCACAATTTGTAAAAATGGAATTTTAGTTTCTCAAATCATAGTCATCTTTTACTCAATGTAATTATTTTTCATTTGGTGAGACACTATAGTCTTATTACACTAAATTCGTTCGTTTTGGAAAGAAGCACATTTTCACCGTTTAAAAAAAAAAAATTGTTTAATTTTAAAAATTACAAGATAGCTGCGACGGATATTCTGCATGCTGGCATTTTTTTTTTTTAATTTTGTGGTGTACTCTTGAAACTTCACAGATATGTTTTATATGAGACCAACTTTCATTGCCTCTAACATGAACATTCTATTTGAAAACTTTCCAATGCTATTTAAAAAATAAATATATGATTTTTTCGAGTGGCAATGCAAAAATGATCAATTTCGTTACTTTTTTGCCTAAAAACATATTAAGGGTAAAATTATTCAAATGCTTAATATATTTTGTATAAATACAAGAAGAATGTTTTTGTTTTTTTTTTCTTGCCGAGAGAAGGGAGTGACACGAAAAAAAAACAACTCGTGGGATTTGCTAATATACACATATATGTATATATATATAACATCGAATATTAAGCAGAAACGCACACGAAATAGAAGAGACAAAGCTGCTTGGAGCCATTTCTACACCTGCCATAGGCGCTGTTTCGTAGTAAAATTAAAACAATACTTATACCATTTTGTGATTTCTTTTTTTTTATGCAGAATTTAATGCAGCTCTAAAGGTTATCTAACAGTGTAATTAAATATAGTTCATAATAATTTTGTTAACTGCATTTTAAGTCCACATTACACACAAGCGACATACATAAAGACATCATTCTAATTAAGTTCAATAACACGAACATGAAAAACAAAATGAAAATCAGTAAGGAAGATGCATTTTTTTTGTTTGCAAAAATACTAAAAGCATTCAAATTATTTATTATACATACATACATCAAGGAAATTTTTTTAAAAAACGCTTTTCAGTATGTGCTTTGTATGTACGCATATTTGATTAAAAGCAAATGGCTGTTTTTTTTTTGTGTAAGAACACTATATGTGTATGTAATTGTGTAGAAATTTATTATTTGTAAAAAACAAAGAGATTTAAAAGACTTAGGACCGAATTTTCAAGTCAGTTTTAAAATTTAGCGGGCCTTTAAACACAAAATTGTGTGCTAAAAAAAAATGTGTGTTAAAGGGTAAATAAATTTTATTAGCTACTTGAGAAAACGGTTATTAAACACCTGGAACGAAGGCGAATGCGAATGCGAAGCAGAAGAAGAATGTGCAAAATAACTTAAATGATGTGTATTCCGCACAAAACAACAAATGGAATCTCGAATGCCCTCAAAACAGATATTAAGGGAATAACAACAACAACATTAATACATATTTTGTTTAATGTGAACCAAAGCTGTGATTTAATGCAAGCCAGCATACGTTAAGAATGCAACCCCAACAACAACAACAACAACATTAACAAAAAGAAAACACGACTACCACAACAACAACAAGTAGAAAATCCATTATAAGAATGAAGAACAAATAATATAATGCAATTAAAATGTTTAGATTTGTTAAGTAAAATCTGTTGACAGCGAAAAACAAAAACAAAAACACAAAAAATGAAAGCAAGAAATGCCGGCATGTTGATGTTAGCAGAGAGCTTAAGTTATTTAGCATAAATAGCATATATTTAAAGTAGTAATTATTTTGCAAAATCTTTGGTGTAAGAAACAATACTGTTATTTAGTTTCCAATCTAACAATATATTCCCATTTGTTTGACCGCCAGCGTATGTTTACCGGGAGTAGTCATTTACATTTTAGGCATCGATAAGTAAGTGTTTGAAGATTTTATCGTTATATTTTCGCGACCATTCAGAATTACTTCGAGTTTTACATTCAAGAGTTATTTACAGAAACTTGGGATTTTACGTTATTTTGTATGGTTTTTCGAGATTTTCGTGAACTTTCCGCTCCGAAAGTACATTAATGCCTTAACTTGGTTTATAATGAGTACTTAAAATAAAAAAGCAGAAATAGCCGGCTATTTTGTGTTAAAAAAAAAAACATTATGCCCAATTTTAGAATTGTAAATTTACTTTAATGGTCCAAGAAAATTTGGCTTAAACCCGACTATGCAACAAATTTCATACAAATTTTAATAGTAAAGTAAATTTAAGGATTTTTTGGGATTCTGAGTTTTTTGTTGATTAAGAAAATACGTTTTTTTTTAATCTTCTGAGATCCATTTCATTGAACTAGGCGATATCTCGCATCTCCCATTACAATAAATATCTATCTCAATTAGTATTTATTTCATAAATTTTATTTGTGTGTTATTTTTTTTTGCTTGCTCTCTGCTAAATTATGCAACTAATTGGTTAGTTAGTCATCTTTAAATGCTAAGCTCAAATGTCAACAATGCTCAAAGATGCAGGTAAAGCGTGCATAATTGCATATTAGCATGTATGTATGTATATCGGTATGTATATTCGTGTGTAGGTATTATAAAAATATTTAACAGCATAAATGAATTTTAAGAACTCAAAGAATGTGGTACAAATACAAATACTTAGAAAAATTCCAACTTAATATTTATGTATATAGTACCGCTAAGTGCACGAAACGAAGAACAAACGAAAAAATCAAAGGTATGCATTACAAGCAACAACAACAAACAAACAAATTGTGATGAAAAGTATAACTATGAATATATCAAACACCGTAATTTAGAGAGGAGAGAATTGAAAGACAACAAACAAACACAGAAATCCAGCAAATTTATCTAAACAGCATGTGTATGCGCGAGTTAAAAAAATGAAAACTAAATAAATATGTAGTATGTATGTATGATTGTACGTAAGAACAAAATGCAAATGCAATTGCAGTCAGGGCAGATATGAATAACAAAAATGTATTGTATGTATGTATGTATGTATGTATAGTGCGTACCACATGAATGTACTGTACTAATCAATCTAATGTACGATTGTGTGTGTACGCATACATAAATTTTGCAATTTAATTGATATGTGATATGCGCGTCCGCGACGAATATATAACAAAAACAAAAATCGTCATGCGCGGCAAGCAAAAAACCAACCAACCAACCAACCAACCAACTAACCTACAAACAAACAAACAACATCTGAACAAAGAATGTTAAAAAGTGATATTAACAAATTATATTAATAAACAACAACAACAACAACAACAATTGTAGTTATAACTATACATATACATATATATATGTAAACTGGCAATAAGGCAATCTGCTGTTTACCAACTACGAGTACCTTGCAGGCAACAACAACTACTATAAAAAATAAAATAAAATCGCAAGGATTTGCCAAAAAGCAAATTTTTATACATATTGTACATATAAACATCATTGTGCTATAAGGAAATGATTGAAAAATCAGCAATCAATAAATGAATGTGATGCTAAATGAATACAACTTGAAATCTAAACAACTCTCTACACATACTACTACGAGTACTAGAACTATCAATTTATAGTGTTCCACAAATAACTGAAGCGCTAAAGATATTTGAAATCTGTATACTAATAATGTAGGATTTAATATTT